CAGGGTTGGGGCTTGGTTTGGTTTGGTTTGGTTTGGTTTTATTTTATTTAAAAAAAAAATAAGGGGGGTTTTTCAATCCCGGGATTAAAAATTTTTTTTTTTTCTTTACCCAAAGATAAAAGTTGTTTTTTCAACGGTTTTTTCCTTTCAAGTTTTTTTTTTGGGGTTTTTGGGGGTTGTTTTTTTTCCGGTAACTCAAGAACAATTCAGTCAAAGGGGGGACCATTTGCTTAATTTCAGGCCCTTTTTAACGGGGTAAAAGACCCGGTTTCCAATTTTTTTTTTTAAATTTAAATTTTTTTTCTTGGTTTAAAAAGAAAGAAAGAAACGGATTTTTTTTTTAACCTTTTTTTGCCTTTTTTTTAGAGGGGTAAAATTGGAATTTGGGGCCCCAAGGGCTTTTCAAAAAAGGGTCCCCTCCCCCGGAAAGCCCAATCCCAACCTTTTGGTTTTGGGTTTTTCCTTTTAAAAAAGGGATAAAATAACCTTCAACCCCCCTTTTCCAGGTAATAATTTTTTTTTAAAGAATTTGGGTTCCTTCCAAAGATTTAAAAAACCTTTTTTTTTTGGATTTTTCCCCCCCCCCCCCCCCCCCCCCTTTTTTTTTTAGTTGCTAAGAACAGCAGTAGGCTGTTTCATATCAGTCAAATTTCCACGAATGTTCTGTTCAATCTCAAGACTCTCAAAGAGACTTTTAAAGTTTCCAGCGCCAAAACCATTATGATTGTTACGCTGAATGATCTCAACAAACACAGTCGGACGGTCTTCCAATGGGCGAGTAAAGATCTGTAGAAGATAGCCATTCTCATCGTAATCGACCATGATGTTTAGCTTCTGAAGTATATCCAGATTCTCAGCAACGGGTCTCAAAGCAGTCTTGTTGTGCTTCGAAAGGGCGGCCCGAAGTGCAATATAGTACGTGTCCGGAATGGTCAGGAACGCACAGCCTCGTTGGCGCATATTGGTTACAGATGTGATGATATCATTTGTGTTGATAGCAATGTGTTGTACACCTGCACCTCCGTAAAAGTCGACAAACTCCTGAATCTGAGACTTTTTCTTCCCTAGTGCTGGCTCATTGATAGGAACCTTGATTCTTTCAGCTGGGTCGGCCATGACTACTGAACGAAGAGCACTATATTCAGTATAGACATCTTTGTCATCCACAGACCAGAAACGGTGGAAATCAAATGCTTTCTCGTAAAAATCAGCGACGGGGTCCATCATATCGTCGGGCTGGTTTCCGACGACATGGTCAATAAACTGGAGGGGAACGTGGGGCCTATTAAAAAAAAGTATTTATAATGAATATGTTGTACAAGTAACAATGAGATTTGGAGGGTTCAATTTATGGTCAATGTCCAATTTTTTCCCACGATTGTTACTTACAAAAGTTCCTCTAATGGGTCCTTGAATCTCAAGGCTACAGATGAATCTTTGAATCCCGGTAAGAAAACTCCTTTGTACTTTGTACGTTCAATCAGAGTGTGATGAACATCACCATACTATGATATATATATATATAATTTAGCATGATATTTTGTAGAATTAATAATCACAAAACTTACAGTTGCAAGAGTGGCCATTACCACAGTTCCATCCTCGTCAGTGATTTCTTCGGGTGCTTTTACGGAGATAGCACCTCGAGAAATTGCTTTCTAAACAGGGAATAAATACAAAAACATATAGTGTCAATAAATGCTTGATACTTTTAGCAAAGAGAGAGAGAGAGAGAATATGTACCTCATAAACCGCTCGGCAGTTAGTTACGTTAAAGGCGACATCCTTGACTGCATCACCTCTTCTGGCAATCTCTGCAGCCATGTCAACCATAGACTCAGGATGAATGGGGCTTTCGAATACAAATATAGCTTCTCCTTGCTTTACTACATGGGAAGCAACTTCGCGGGAACCAGTTTCAAGACCGCGATAGGCGACATGCTTGAATCCAAGTCGGGTACAGTAGAAGGAGGCAGCTTGTTTGGCGTTTGTAACAGTAAATTTAAGATGATCGAATCCGGTATAAGGGTTATTGGCTTTGGTAAAAGTAAGGCTGCTTGTCTACAAAAAATATACCAAAAAGGAGTTTGATTAAATATCCAAGGGAGGTTCAAAGAAGACTTGGGTTGTAGCCTACCATAGTCACTCAGACCAGGCTAGATTTATAAAGTATAACTGCAAGTGGTTGAGAGGGGGAGGAGGAAAGTATTGAATACACAAGATACAAAGGTGAGTTTCTATTGTCCTTTTATATATTTTTTTTCGTGGGAAAATTTACAAAATTCTCACGCATCCTTATTTTTCTTCTGTGCTGGTTATCCTTTTTTTTTTACATGTCTAATCCAACCAACCAAATTGAACCTTTTACCTCCTGTTATGTATCTTTCTATCATTTTTAGTGAGTGAGTAGGCAAGTGTAGTTGTAGGTGAGTGAATAATCGATTGGTCAATCAATTGATTAATTGACTGACTGACTGATTGAGTAATTGATTTGTACTGGTGTAATTCTCCTGTCATTAACTTTATATCTAGACGTCACCATTAGATTAAAGCTGTATTTGACTACGTCCCTACCCAATCTATGCTATTAACAAAGCTTATGCCTATTTAAATATATATAGCGATTTCTCTCACTAAAATAAAATATAAACATCCGTTGTGTTCTAGTTTGACATGGGTGCATCTTCAATCGGACCCATTTTTGCTAAGCACGATTCCAATATTAAGTTGCACAATTAACAAAAAAAAACACGAAGCCTTAATGGCATTTTATGACCCTAATGGCATCTAGCATCAGTAGACACAAGGATATACACAATATTATGGTGGTAATTATTATCCGGTTTCCAGGCCTAATAAGCTAATTAATATTAAATGTTAATAAAACTTAGATGGTTGATAAGTTCTCTTTTTTTTATCCTTAACATATCAGTACTTGTATTATTTCAGATACAAAAACAATCAGGGCTATTTCCTAACATTGATGGTAAATATGTAAGGAGAGAGGCAATGCCTGACCCCTTTCCCTCCCCTGTAATCTCAATTTTGTTTTATTTTTTGTGTAGAAACTTAAAGGTTTTAAAAGATGCCCTCTATAATATTAAAGCCATGCAAGGAAAACATATATACATATATTTTTCTTCTATTGCTATCTTTATTAAAGGATAAATGTTTTTTTTTACTCATAAACAGGTACCTACTACATTTGGATACTAAGTCAAAGCAAACTACAAGTGTGGATAAGTATGACCCATAACAGATTTCCTATCTTTGTTTGCTTGTTGCTTAGCAGCCTTGATGCAAAGTTTTGTAGATCCTTAAGATTCTCGCCGAATGTTTTAAAATAAATCATGGCAACTCAGTATAATTTACCTTTTAGGCAAACAAACCTCCACCCCCGGGAAATGTGTCGTAAATGGAAGAAGCAAAGCTAGCAGAAAAGATAAAACTATAAGTTAAATGAACCAAAAAAAAAACAAATGATTTGCTTTACAGCAACTTGCGTCTATATTGATTAATCGGCACTTTCATATTAACTGGCCATATATGCTCTTCTCAAAGAATAAGAAAAGAATACTTAAATATAAATATATATATATTGGTAATTACAGGACCTATATCCAAGTGAAAAATAAATAGTTTTAAATACTGAGAATAGTATTTTAAAATATTCTCATTGGTATCAGTTAAAAATTCTACAAGTATATTAAGAAGTGAGTAATTGGAAGTAATTCTTGAATTCTGTAGGGCGGAAAAAAATGGATAAATATTAGCTAAGTCTATTCCTTTTCTTTACATTATATTGTTCAATAAACTGCTTTTGATGAAATGAGCGAGTATTCTTAAATAAAGGGCTCTTTCACTATTCACGAATAACGGTTCTAACCAAAGCTCGACTAATATAAGAAAATACATTTTTATTAACAGAATATCGGCACATATACATTTGATTATATACTCTAGACTCAAACTTAATTGAAGACCTTTAATTTGTTACTATTATTATTACTATTGTTTGAAGGGAGAATAAGTCTAATAAGAATCTATCTCTAGATAAATATCAATAGTTAATGCGTTTTGTAGTATATTTTATTCAAGTGACTTGGACTGCCTTTTGTTCTTCATTTTTTTTTGAATGGGTTTGTCGAGTGTCTGCTGTTTCAGCAAGCAAATTCAATGAAACCTCCTATTTATAGCCACAAATAAAGGTTTCTACAAAATGATAATTAAGACTAATAAACGCAATGTATGTTATTATTAGTATTATTTTTTCTAAAGAAAAGTATAATTATATGGAAACTTACTTGCTATCTCCTTTGTTTGGTTTGTTTTTATTAGTAATGAATAGGACATGGAAATAAATCTGAATGAGCTTAAATGCTTGTGAAAGTAACCATAATAAATACTGCAAAGTTGTTGTCTATTGTATATCATGGTAAATGTCTGAATGTTTACATGTAATGTTGTTTCCTGTGTAATATATAAAATAAATTTGTACAAAGGTAATAATAAAGCAAAATAAAACTAAACTAAACTAAACTAAAACTTTGCTAGAGAATGTTAAATTGGTATTAAAATGCTAATAATCATTACCTTTAGTATAGTCAATCTTGAATTAAGACTCTCCACAGTGACGCATATGGGCTGCGCCATACACGCCAATTGTTCTTTACTGAGTGCCTTTTAAAAATGTAAAAGGCCCTCCCAGAAATTAAGTGGAGCTTACAGTACAAAAGTCATTACCATAGTGTTGAAGTAATAATGCCAAATGAGACAGTTGTCTTCTTTATGAGACTCTCCACGGTCACACGCATAGGCTGGGCCTCGCGCTTAAATTGTCCTTTACTGAGTGCATTTTAAAAATATAATAGAAGATCCTCCCAGAAAGTAAGTGGAGTTTACAGTACAAAAGTAATTACCGTAGTGTTGAAACAGCAATGCCAATTGAGGCTGTTGATTCATAGTCAAGACTTGGAAAAAGTAAGAAAGGATTTCAAACATTTGGTGTGGACAGACTAAAAGTTCAAAAAAAGGGCAAAAAAAGGGTAAAACAACTTCATCCTGAACTTAGTCAATCAGACTAATTTATGGCTGTCCACATCTTTATTTAAAAAAAAGTTCAAAATTAGTTCAAAATACATATTAGATAAAATTGTGCATATAATCCCGTCTATGCCATTAAGTGAGAACCTTTTATTGAGAGTTTTTCTAGACCTCTCTTTATACGGCACATCTTCTCCACAAAAAAATGCTTCTCTTCTCAACCCTAGTGGCAATGGAAGAAAACTAGCTAATTAGAGTCGATTAAAAATTCTGCCCTTTTTTTGCTCTTTTTTGAACTTTTAGTCTGTCTACACCATATATATCTATATCGCATACTCTTTTTTTCAGTTTAGTACAATTCTTATAATAAAATATCTTTAATTTACTAAACAAGTTTCCGGTGCCTTTACAATCAAAGGAACATGTTATTAACACAACACCGCCCACAAAATCGAATGTATAACAAAGCAAGAACATCTTTACGAGCAGAACCTCAAATTGACAATAGAGGTGATATAGTTTACGGATCCCAGTACGTCTTGCATTTTCAATGACTATCAAAAAAGCGCAGGGCCAAACATTTTATCATATTGGACTATATCTTCCTTTACCTGTATTTGGACATGGTCAATTCTATGTTGCTCTCTCACGAGTAGGAAAGCTATCAGCAATCAAGATAATGCCCAATACGTATCATACCGGAGTGTAGCACGGGCCTGCCTCCTCTAGTCTTGTTTTAATTTTCGGCTGCGGTCGACATCAGTTTTGTTAAAAGGACAGATTAAATTCTTCCTTTATTAAAAGCACAATTAAAATTATTATTTGTCTTATTTTTAAAGATATATATATATATAACATCGCTAGTATTTTTCTACCTTGTCTAATTATCCGAATAACTCTGCAATCAAGTCTTTCTCTTGTAAGATAAAGAGTTTATCAGCTTCTATTTATATTTTCTTTTTGAGTCTTCTTGCAGAATATTCACTCAGTAATTCTTCCAACTTCTATATTAATCAGAGTTAAGCAAAATAGAGTTAACACATTTATTAAAGAATCGAAAAAGAAATTAGTAGTAAAGAGCTATATTTTATATATATGGGCTATCCTAAATATAATCATAACATCTGTTAAATATTTGTGTGTGTGTTTTTTGTAAAACCAAGAAATATTCCCCTTTTATTAAAACGATCTGCCCAAGATGGAAGTTCGACTTTTAAATTAACAGCAACAATAAAAAATAAAAAAAAATCAGCATGAAATTATTGTAAAATAGATTTTAAATGATAAATTGTAAATTATAAATTATAAACCTTAAAAGTATATTAATTAGCTACTATTGAATATCCAATGCAAAGAAAGACAATTGCATTTCAACTTGTTTAAACACTCAAGCCAATATAATCTACCACTTGTCTATGCAGAAAAAGCGGCCTATTCTTTTCTTAGTAGATAGTACTGGATCAAATACTGCTTCAATCACCAAGGTAACATTGATCTATTGTGTATACATTGCATACATAGCCTAACATGCCCTTGTTTTCACTTTTTCTCCCACAATTAATTATAGGGTTATGGTTAGACAGACACACATGTATTTTAAATACATTCTTTTTCACACAGATACACAAACACTTTCTTGGTAAAGATCCTGATTTTGCCTTTTACCAAGATGATAAAGAGAGCCTTTTTTTTTTTAGTTTTTGGCAAGCTGAGATTTTTAATACTAGCCAAATGAATTAAATGAAAACTATCCTAAAACTCAATATATAATCATAAAGAGCTTTTTAAATTTTTAGCGTATTGACCTGTCAAAAAAAAAGGGAGGGCATCAAGCCTGAATGAATGTTTCAAGTTGTGCCTTCTCTCTTTAGTATTGCCTTATGACTCCCATAGAAAGGCTGTATGCTTCTTCTAAATGTATAATAAGGGAAGTGTTTTTAATGTAAAAAAAGGATTTTTCTTATTCTTCGAGTTACAAAATATGACAAGATACAACATAAATTTTAAAAGCTACGTATTATTGAGGTTTCTTTTGCGATAATTATCTCCCAACTGTCGATAAATGTTTCTTCTTTCTTTCTTTTTAATTATCGACAATATCCTTTGTACTGACTGTATTACCTTTAACTTCAATAACTGTACATCATTGCTTTTATTCTCCTCTTCAACAAACAAACCACTGTAACTTTGTGCCTCCATGATGTATATCTGTGTCACATTTCTTCATGTGTTGTTCCCAGTCAACAGATGCATTGTACACACATATCATGTAAATCTTTGTAGCAATTCACCCCCACACTCAAAGCCTAGAAAAAGAAGCCAACCTTTCTCTTTCTTACACTAAAACCTTCCTTTCCTTCATTTCATTTTCTTTTTCCCTTCCTTTTATTTTATTTTAATGATTGCCTATCTACTCCTTGCTCTGATTGCCTTGGTGTGCAGAGTAGCTGCCCAGGTTGGACCTACCATCACCTTCCCTCACGAAAATGGTACTATTGTTGCTGGAGAAACCGTTGAAATCAAATACGATTATCCCAACATGGGCACAGGCAATTACAGTGTCGACATTGCTCTCTGGGCAGATGCCTCGGCTACTCAAAACCTTTTAAATATTACCACCAATGAAGTCATTCCCTCTGGAAACTCGACTGGATTTACCCTGGCATTTAACCTCACTTCAACATACAAATGGAAAGTTCCTAATGGACTCAACGAAACTGTTTATTTAACTGTGACCGAGTACGCCAAAACCAGCTTCTTTTTCCCAGAACAGCGTTCAGCACCCATGATGCTCCATGTCAGTGCTGCATTTGCCTTTTTACCTTTTCCTGCCGTTTCTTTATTCTTTGTGTCGATGGTTATTCTTTACTTTGGCAATCTATAATCTTATTACTCTATTTATTTTAATTAGTATTTTCCCCCTACCCTATACAAAATATAAATATATAAAATCTGTTCAAAAGAAGGCTTTTTATCCTTATTTTAAGAACCTTTTGAAAATAAATAATAATTATATACGTATATATAAAGACCATCCAACAAGTTTTTTGTTTTGTTTTTACTTTATTATTATTATTATATGTGTAGTGGATTTGTAACACATTAGAAATAGATCAAATGAAAGCAGTGGCGCCATTGACTTGATCTAGTTTATTCACAAATCCATACCCTCTTCCGAGATTTTTCCCCCTGATGACATGCACACACAAAAACACAAGCACGTGTATTCTGCACAGGTTTCACGGTAGTACTATACGTACTTTGCTTTGATATTCTTTATTATGCTTGCTCATGAAGATCGCACCGAGAAACTAACTGCTGTGGCCAAACGCAAGGTAAGTCTCGAATATAGGAGCATGTTTTTTTTTAAAAAAAAAACACAAAAAAAAGAACAATATAGCTTGTCCTATAAGGCTTATAATCAGGTTTAGCTTCAAAAGTATCAGAGCAAAAAAGCCAACAAGACTGAATCATCCGAATCTGATGCCACGATAATTGAGACAGAGAATTCCAACTTAAGAGATCAATTGAGACAAGCGAATGAAAAGATCCGTGATTTGGAATCTCAAATTGAAATCAATCGTCTTGCTGATGGTTTTCATAAAATGAGAAAACCAGAAGAGCAGTTTATTGCTACTCTTTTATCTGATGATGACTTGGGTAAATTTATTTATATATATATAATTTTTTATTGTTAGTTTGAGTGTTTGTCCCAAAAATATTTACAAGTATTGGTTTTATTGCTTTTGATAGATGCCTACGAACAAGAAGAGAGGTAAGACAGGACACAATAAAAGAAGAGTAAAATGTAATTTAAGAAACCCAGGTATATCATGGAGAGTGCGAAAAGGCGCATTAAGGATTTGCGTGAAAGATATAGCCAGACCAGGGCTGGTAAATAAACAAACAAGAAAAGAAACGAGAAACCATTGCAACCGATATTTTCACAATATTTTTTTAGAGAGAACTTTTGTACTAATACAAAGTCTGACTTCTCCTTTAGAGCTATGTGGAAACTGTTTGGGAGATCTATTGGAGATTTGATATTTACTATATATTAATTGTATTAATCTCATAAATTATACACTATAATAAAATAGATGTTGAAATGTTCTGCTTCGAGAAATACTGTTCTCTATTTCTCTCTTTCTCTTTTATAGATATACCTATATATCTATATAGGTGAGTGTGGGCTGGTGTACACTTGTTAGTCGTTATAATCTCAATTTTCGTTCGAAATCAATTTTATAGAATTTGGCTCACATCTTATATCTATGTATGTCTTATCTTGTTTTAATTGACTCTATTTTTTTTTGGTTTTACATAAATGGCTATCAACTTTCATTTGATTTACTGCTTCATAAAAACCATATTTTTAAAATCAAAATAAACAAACTAGATGTTGATATTGAGTTTGCGACTGAGAATATGTGGGGCCCAAGCGTTTTGCTTTTTACTTTTTTAAATATATTTATCCTAAACCTTGATTATGAATTTATTGATGAAGAAAACTCTAATATCTTATAGTCGACTTTGATTGGCTGGAGGATTAACAATTAAAGAACGAAGAAGAATAAAAAAAAGTTGCTTTTATAGTATTTTATTTTATTGATTTAAATATATATATAAACAGACAATTAGTATCTGGTTGAATTTCTTCTATTTTTATTGGTATAAGAGCTTTCACGTAGTAACCAAAAGTTCAGGTAAAGAGTCGATTAGTAAATTTTCTAGTCTTGAGATATTTAGTAATATAATACCAAATACTCTTTGAGCTATAAGCAAGAAATAATAAACAAGATTTCAAGCAAATCTTTTGGATGAGAAGTTGATACTAAGTTTTCAAAAAGCTTATGTATATCCTTTGATTTCTCTCTTAAATTTTGCCTAAAAAGTTTAGTCTAATAAAAAACCTCTTTGAATACACAGTCGTAAAAGTAAGCTTCAAAATATACATGATAATATTCATCTTGTAGTCAGGGTTGATACTCCAATTTATTTTGTTAAAAAACACCAAAAATAATACTATAAAAACTCCGTAAAATCTTCACAGAATCCTAAAAATTGGGGGTGGAACAACGACTGATATTTAATCTTGAGTGAATAGAGTTGCGTGGAACACAAAAGGGCTTCTAACAATGTTGCTAAATCAGACTGTTAATACAACCTATACAGTAAATACACACACACATACAAACATACAAACATACATTCTGATTAGATATAACTACTAAGGTTCGTCCTTATTTTCTTGCTTGTAAACATAAGAAGAAGAAGGTAAAGATGAGCTAGAATTAAACCGGCAAATGGGCGGCAAACTATTCAATTGGATGAAGATCAACAATACATATCAATCGTTTTCCGGTTACATAAAGTCTAAATCGCGTCCTTCTGTACGCGTATTAAGTGCCGTTCTATGATTGAGTATAGCCTGCAGAATCTGTAAAAGAAAGAGTACATGTGATTTAATGAAGTTTAACACTATCATGACATTATTGCCTATAAAGAGAAGGCTAGTATGCTGATTGGCTTGAACTTGCGTGGAGCGCTTAGTATAAGATGGTTGCACAGAAGAGAACTTGACGTCGGAAGGAGTGCCCAAAATACAATAAACCCAATCACATTTCTGTTATTCAAACTGCAACAGTTGGTTTGCCCTTATAAAGGCAAGATCTGCTTTTTTTTATAATACTAGGTAGTAAAGTAGTACGAAGCACGATGGCACTCTACTTTGTGGTATTATAAAGAAGCCCGCTTCTAGCCTTTTCATCCATTCTCACTCTTTCTTTCTTTCTTTCTTCTTTCCTTCTTTCTCTTCATTGCCCTTTCTTCTCATATTTTCTCTCTTTATTTATTTCCTTAACATGGCTAGAAAGAACGGTGCAAGCGCTCGTAACCAACGTCGCAACCGCAAGCAAGAACAAAAGAAAGTCCAGGTCGAAACAGCTCCTTCTCATACCGCCTCCATTGCCGAGAGTAATTTTGATCAAGCTGATGAGTCTACTGCACGGTCTAGCAATGAAGAATCCGGAGCAATTAAGAAAGAAGCCTCTACCATTTTATCACAACCCGTAGAAGCCTCACCAGCAATCTCCACGCCCGATCAAAGCCCAGCTGAGCAACCGAATGTCAGCCACGACGCGACTGCAACCGTAACTGAGGCGGAACATGAATCTCAAGCCGTTCAGGAGCCATCCACCATCAATAATGTGTCCTCTGTCCCTGAGACAGTTGCACCAGAAAGCATGGTCAACCAAATCAAGGAAGCAGTCATTGTGTCCAAGAACACAACACAAGGGATTGTACCCGAGTCTGTAGCATGTGAAAAGACTGAATTGAACAAAGACGAGTCTGCTTTCAAAACCAAACAACTCCTTGAGATAGTTGCGCCAGAGACTATTGCCGAGCTTTCTAAGGAAGAAGTACCGGCTGTAATCGAATATGCTCCCATTGTGGAGAATGCCGTAGAATCACCCGCCGACAGCAAGGCTGTAATTGCAGAAACCTCCATTATCAACTTACCTAACGTAAATACCACTGCTGTTGAGATTCCTGTTGTTGATATTGTTAGTGTCAAGAAGACTTCCGCTGATATTTCTGCCGTTGAGGAGCCTGCTATTGAGGAGCCTGCTGTCGAAAAGCCTGTTTTTGAGGAGCTTGCTGTCAAGAAGCCTGCTGTCGAGGAGCCTGCTGTCGAGACGCCTGCTATTGAGGAGCCAGCTGTCGAGAAGCCAGCTGTCGAGAAGCCTGCTATTGAGGAGCCTGCTATTGAGGAGCCAGCTGTCGAGAAGCCTGCTGTTAAGGAGGCTATTGTCGAAGCCTCTAGCGTAAACGAATTAGTCGAATCAGCAGAAAATTCTACTAAATCTATTGTAATTGAAGCTCACACAATTGTACAGTCTTGTGAGCAGACAATCACAGAAAATGTACAAACAACCGTTGCCAAGACCGAAACTGCCGTGAAGTCTATACCTGCCGTTACTTCTGATGATTGCACAGAAGATGCATCAATTAAAAGTACTATTGTCAGCGAATCACTTATCAAAAAAGAATTTATTGCTTCCGAATCACCAAAAATCACTACCCAAACAACAGAAAAGCATGTTAGCTCTGGTAAGCGGGAGAGCCAAGTAAAGGATCTGATCCGAAAAGAGAAGCCTCTACAGAAGAAGAAGTCCATTCTTGGGAAGATCTTTAAAAAACCAAAGGAAGAGTCAAAGGTAAGAATAAGTAAATATCGGTGTAAATGAATAAGGGTCTTATTGTTGTTATTGTCTTTCGATTTTAAAGACAAAGGAAGTAACAAGTGAAAAAGAGAAGAAGCGCAAAACATGGCAGTTCTGGAAATAAGCCATATTATACACCTTGGACGTACACCCTATTCACATATATAATCTCTTAAAAGAAACAGACATACTACACCTACGTTTCGATCATATTCTGCCCTTGCGCCGATTACATTTACTTGCTGTTACACTTTACATATACATCTATAATCGCTATATTGAACAAGACAAAACCAAAAAAAAAAGTCCATAAAGTGCTAGATACTCGACTTTACATATACTTTTATATACATATTTAAATTACACTTTCTAATATTCAAGAAACTTTTCCTAGTCTATAACAAATATAATTATTCCACATTGGTGGTACGCATTTAATGTAAAGTTACTAAATAATATATATATATATTATATATAAAGGTGTGTGTGTGTGTGCGTATTTTTTTTCGAAAATTAAATATGAAACACAGCAGGGTATTATTTTGCCTGAAGTGAAGTTGGTTAATTACAGTTTCTCGAGCAATGCCAAACTACAATTTAGTGTCAGGACAACCTTTTGGAAATACATAATGTATATTTATATCTACAGATTGTAAAATTTAATCTAAATTTATCGGTTATAACAAATTATAATCCCAAATATATATATATATATATTTGGATATAGATATTTAGAGATGTTTATAATAATATTCATTATCAGAGACAATCTTAAGATAATTTACACAAAAAACAAAGTGGTATTCATACAGATGGTCAATTCAAAAAGGAAATAATTACTATTCCTCCTCCATATCGTCTTCAGGAGAAATCTTGGGTTTAGGCTTCCAAATGGCTTTCTCTATAAGGTTTTGGTCTTTTCTTCGCTGCTGATCTAGAGTGACATATTCCAAAGCAGTCTTTCTATCCTTAGCGCTAAAATCTCGAATTTTATCCGTCTCACGGATACAGGATGTCTCAAACGCCCAGTCAACACCCTGTGCATAGTGTGTAAAGGTGAGGTATCGATCTGGCCACTTGTTCTTATCTCGTAACAATCCCCCATTCCACCAGAGTGGTTCCTGATCTACGTCTAAATGAAGCTGGTTTCCACACACCATACTTGGATCTCCCGCATCTCCTAATCCTCCGATTACAGCACCATACGACTTGATGAAAGAATATGGGGTTTGAACCATCTCAAATCCAATCCAAAATGTCTAGTAAGATAATAATTGTCAATACTAGTACATAATAATCACCCCAACATGCACCCAATTCTATTGATATATATATATTGTCTTCTTACCTCTTTATCACCATGAGCGTATTGGTATGACACCTTGTCTCTCTCTTGCTTGTCATTCATCTTACAAGTTGACAAGAGTCCCAATAGTGATTTATTTTTATTAATCACAACAACACCTGACTCTTGTTCATGCGCGGATGTACTTTTCCACCATCGCGTTTCCTTTAATAAAGAGCTTCCGGTAGGCAAAAATGACTGTAGCCACATTCTACCCTTTGACCATCCTGAAAAAAGGGTGCGATCATAAAAGAATAGTGCGCCCGTCTTCTTGTAGCCAGCATCGGCAAACAAAATATCGGGCCGCTTAAAGAAGAAGACGTCCGCATCCATCAGAATGACTTCAGAGAAGCTACTGGCCAGTATCGCATATGGCTTAACAGCCCAACCACCAAATTGAGTAAATCGGTCATTTATGGAATGTACCACCTGGCGTGTTTTGACGTCAGTAAACTCTGTTTCAAGGTACTGACGTTTTATGGGCGACAAATCATTCTCTCTGATGTAGAATACTTCGATAGGTAGGTTCGAATGGAGGACTTGGCGAATTCCACGGATTGTGGTTGCAGCGTATTTAAATTGATTGTTGCCTACGCAAATAACAATACCTCTTCCGCGGGTGTTGTTGTTGATGTGAAATGAATTTTCCCAATGTGGCGAAATCCATGGATAAAGTGTGTTTTCAAGTTTTTGAAAAAGATCCCAAGTAGAACTGTATGTGGGGTCTGTAGTTACGTCAATTTGACCTTCAGTAATGATAGGATCAAGGTACTGAAAAAGACCTTTGTATACACGTTGTTGAAACGTAAGTGTCTTAAAGTTAGGTATTGGCTCGGGGATAGTAAACAGATCCGCCAGCAATTTCTGGCCAAGAGATGTTTCCAAAAGGCGTTTATCCGCATCTGCAAATATATGAAAGTAATACCTTTGAGTTTCCATATTTAATTCATAAAAGATATGTTTCACATACCTGTCCATGGGTTTATAGGATTAGTGATAGCTATATCATGAGATATTACAAGTTGATCTATGTCTTTGGTTGTTGCCTTTATAACTAAAATTATACAAATCAGATCATGAAAGTCCTTTTTTTTTGAAAAAAAGAGGAGTAAAAGTGAAGCTTTGTCTTGTGGGAATTTACCAGGCTCAATAACGCTGCGATGATTTTCTATCCATCGAAGACGTGTGAGGCGTCTCTCTTCTTCAAGAAATTTTTGTTCTTCTTCCCGTCTGCGCTGATCTTCTTCTGCGAGTCTTTTAAGGGTTTCTGGATCTTGGGTTGGTAATGATAAATGAGCATTGATGTTACCAGGACGAGAGAATGATCCAAATGAGAGGTATATTATAAAGAATGCACTGATGGAGACAACTATTATCGCCGAGATGCGCAAAGGACGCATCCGACTAAAGGCTTGCATCACCATTCGAGTCCAAGGAATGACATGAACTTTGGGCTTGTCTAGAATAGTAAGCTCAGGAGATGAATGTGCCTATTTAGTGTAACCAATCAAATGTCTAGAACATTAGGTCTGAAACGTTAAATTGTTGTTGGTCTGATCATTTCGCCGCTTTCTTGTCTTGGTAATAAATAATGTTTTCCTTTAGTTTTCTCTTTTTATATATATACTATCTATAATATCAACCGTATCAATACTCGAGGAAGTTTGTAGTAGGGATAAATCTCTAGAATACATCCTAGTGATTAACTAAGCCTTCTGTATAGACAGAGTGAAGAAATGTCTTCCATAGAGTAATTTGGTAGTACACAAAATATATCTTTCTGTGTTTAAATTTCAACAAAACACGATCTACTAAGTGTTATTCAGTTTGCACTCTGGTTTTATTCCTAAGCTTATAGATAGACAATGTACTTTGTACGATTTGAAGTATCATATCAATGGACCCACATTATGTGTATCTGCTTGTGAAAGATAAAAAGTTGTTTATGTCTTTTTTCAACTAGCCAATAATTCACTTATATATTTGTAACCATAATAATATGTTTATATATTGAAGTTAAATTACCACATTTATGTAATCTAAATTTTCAACCGGCATGGGATGTTCACACAGGAATATTGACCTACTTTTTTTTTTATATTAGTGGTCTTTTTTTTCAGTGCCATTGTGTGGTAACTTGTAAATCTGGGGGGAGGGAGGGTGGTTCTCACTCAAGCAGTCGTCCCTTTTCTTATATTTAACTCTCCGCTTTCTATATCCTTCATATGGCAATACTTGCCCTGAACCCTTTACATTCACCATAATACTGAGAGGAACTTTAATGGAAAAGCAAAAGAAGATCGCTATTATTACTGGGGCTAATTCTGGGGTTGGATATGCTGTTGCTCAAAGACTACTTGAATTGGAACGCGAGGGAATTACTATTGTGATGGCCTGTCGTAATCACAATAGAGCCCATGCAGCCCGCGAACAACTTCTCGTTCAATTTCCTTTTGCTAGCATTGATATAGTGTTGGTGGATGTTGGAAGCATTAAAAGTGTTTTCTCATTCAGTCAGGCTATCCTTGACCAGTTGAGTTTAATCATCTCAAAAACATGAGAAATCTGACAAAGTGTTATAGATATACCCAAGTTGACTATTTGTTCTGTAATGCTGGAATTCTAAGTGCACTCGGAATTGACTGGTACAAAACCATTAAGCTTCTCTTCACTCACCCTATAAATCTCTTGGAAAGATCCGATGCTACTATCCAGAATGTAGGCGAGATCAATGAAGATGGCATGGGCAAGGTGTTTGCTGCCAATGTATTTGGTCACTATGTTATGGTAAAATTGATGTTTGTTATTTATATATATATATATCTTAAGCGAAATAATCGGTGTTAATAATTTCTCTGGTAGATGCGTGAGTTTGAGGGCTTGCTGTCGGCTTCTGGAGATGGTCGTGTTATTTGGACAAGTTCAATCACTGCAGAAAACGATATATTTGATATTGACGATTGGCAAGGTATCAAGAGGTAAGTTGTAAAAAAAAGTATCGAAATCCCGAGAAAGCACCTCTGCTCATTTAAATCCACAGTCCTGTTCCTTATGAGTCGTCTAAATGGGCATGCGATTTAGTTGGTATTGCTATGAACGATCAATTTATCCAAAGAGGGCGTCAGATTACTTCGTATACCACTTCTCCTGGTGTTGTGGCTACTAGTATTGGAGATCTTCCTCGATGGATCACAGCGGCACGCACTCTTATTCACTACACGGTAATTATACGGACGACTAGAACTCTTCCCTAATCAAGGAAAATCTTCACTTTAGTTCCGTATTCTGGGCGTGCAATCCCAAAATATCACAGCATACAACGGTGCCCTTGCAGATGTATTTGTTGCTCTTCAACCCCTCGGTGTGCTAAACTACATGTTTCGTTATTTGTCACTCTCAGACCGTATGGGGAATGCCTTTGTAGAGCCACAGACTCTGGACAGCTATGAACCATTAGTTGCTGAAAAACTTATCCAAAAATGCGAGATTGTCTATCTGGCTCACAAAAGAAACGCATCAAAGAATGCCTAAACTCCATTATTTATTTTGCTTTTATACAATCTAATTTATCTTTTCTAACCATATATTTATTTTTTGGACTTATATCAACACTCTATAAGTGTATCCGATGTATCGCACGTTTCTTCTTTGTTAAGTACGTTGTCTACGTACTGCCTAATGTTCTTATCAGAGATGTTTTCGAGAAAGGATTGAGTGTATCCAGCCCTCAAGAGGATTAGCAAAAGTCCAGCTTCGGGACTAAGCTGATCTTCTTCCAATTCATTATCGATACATTTTAGTGCTTCATCGATTTGCTCTTTCCTTTTCCTACGTGATAGTTCTGAGCGCGCAAATGCAGGTATTTCTTTTGCTGATGTAGGTGGAAACAATTGTTTCCCTGGATGATTTATCTGTTTGAAATCAATTATATCATCCAGGTATCTGTATAAATTTTTTGAATTAATCTTCTGGTTTTTCAGCCATGTAATATCGTTGGCATATTCAGCGAGTAGAGCGGTTATTTCATTCAATCTGAGTTTGAGTGTAGCTGGTGCACACTTAATTGTTTGCGAATAATCTTTCAAAGGCATAAATAATGTTGCGTTTAATACGGCTGTTTTTCGCGAGTACTTTGGGATTCTTGCCTGCTGCAATATGTGAACCATTAGGCTGTGGGTTACTAATAGCAGAGCAGCTCCAACAAAAGGACGAGAGTGTCGCCCAATATTTTGCTCGTATTCAATAATTACTTTCAGGATAGATATCAGCTTAGGTCGTACTTTTGGATCAGATATACGTAGATTCACTAAATGCCGTATCTTGAAGGGCTCCGCAAGTTTGGAATATACTTCCAATATTTTTTGAAAAGGTTCTCTCATAATATATTCAACCTGATGCAAAGGACTAAATGCGTCTTCGGTGTAATCCATCTTGTAGTTGGGTATTTTTAGGAGTGTTTTTACCATCGATTGTTTTGGTATACCAAGTTTTTCAGCAAAGTCAGACATAAGTACAGCGCGTCTTCTATGTTTCGATGCGTAATAGCAAACAGCAGCGGCAATCCCTAGCGACTCTTCTCTAGAGATATGTACTAATAGCTCATCAGCCATTTGTAATGCTGCATCTGACTCCTCAGAACTAAGCTCAAATAGCCCACTGGCATTTTGTATTATATCTGTTAAATCTTCTCGCTACCGTATTATATTGATTAGTACGGCATAAAATTGTTTGTATATTGTATTCATTTGCCTTTTTATCAATGCTTGTAGTCATTGGCTCGAAAAGTAGATCCTTATCAACTTTTTCAGTTGTTTTATTGAGTTTCTCGGGGCAAGTAGAGATTTCTGTAATACAGCCGCAAGAAATGCAGCAGGCAACTTCTGTTTGAGGGTCCACATTTAAATTGGCAGAGCCACATAAATCACATTGACGAGGCATCGAGTTAGACTGGCAATTTATAAAAGCTGAAGCTTTTTAAAGATATAGAAATTTTGTGGAGTAAATAAATATTAAATTCGGCCACAGCTCATTATGCGTTGTTCGTGGATTGCTTGTGACGTAACTAAAAAGCATTTGCTACAGTATGTTACATTGGTATGGCGTGAAACATATATAGTTTTTCAGGTTGAAATTTAATAAAAAGAAAGATAAAACTATAGACACCTTTTGCACTATTCCTTTGCCCATTGAAAAGATATAGCAAGCAATATTAGAAAATTATAATATAATATATACAATATATATAACCTTGGGCAAAAAGTATGTAAATAAGGTACTGAAAAAATTTATTCAAATATCTTTTCTTGATTTCTGCTACCACTGAGATATTCGTTTTACTACAGTATTCCATAAAAGTAAAAGGTCAAACCAGGGGAGTTATTGAAAACTGACTCCTAGGTTCGCCTTTGAAAATCACCCTAAAAACCTCCTTTTGTTCCGTAGTGATAATCGAATTTATATTATTTTTGGATAAGTACACATGTATTTGCTTTGAACACACTTTATTTGGGCTAAGCAATGCTAATTTGGCTTATATATATCGTTAATTATTTTTAATAAATCAAATTCGTATATGTAAATGCCATTTATGCATATTCGTGGTTACTCACTATCCCAATATTTTGTATAAGATTCTTTTTTACTAGTTTGTGCGAAGTATTTGTGCAAATTCATCTTTCAATTGGATTTTAGGCCTCTTGTATCATCTCCAATGACTCTGGCCGGAATACGGTTGTGGTGGGCGAAAAGGATAGTTTGCTTGATGAAATGATGTAGATGACCAAGGCTGCAGAGAGGAGGTGCCAGCAACACGAACTAACCCATCATGGATTAAATAAGATGTACTTGGGAACACTGTGTTGCCTGGATATGCACTTGTAGAAGGATAAGAAGATCCTGGGGGAGAACTTAATTATTTTTTTTAAAAAAAAAGAAAGTGAGATGCATTATACTACCTTTATAATGCCTTGGTTCATTTACCTCCACATTGTTATACTATTTATAGAAGGTATACATAAACCAGACAGCTGCATGTTGTTTTGCATATATGTATCAGTACCAGTTATGGAATGCCTAATAGGTGAACGATAATTAACATCGTCGAAATGTTGATCGTTTGGTTTGTTGAGAGGTGATGAACAATGGCGGTAAGAAGAATAATCAGAAGTTGATGGCGACTAAAGAAGTTTGAATGAGTCTCTTAAATATGGATTGGCCCTTATCAATTACGTTCGGGAGCTCTCTTTGACTATATTCATTACTGTAAACAGTACATAATATTTAGTGATCCGTTATATTTTATAAGTAGATTATTTCTTCATTTATTTCTGTTTACTCACTTGTACTCTTTTGCCTTTTTAAATGGCACCATTATATTTATATTTTGCTCTTTCAAACAGCTTTTCAAGAGTTCGTTTTCTTTACTAATACTATGAAGTTTTCTATAGTTTACTTAGTTTAGCACTGTGTACATGTAGTATATTTAGCTTACAGCTTATATTCTTTTGCTGCCAGTAGTTCACTATGAACTTTGTCCAAGAGCTGTTTTTGCTTCTTGTTTTTCTCCTTGAGAGACTGAGCGAAGCTATAAAGAGTAGATATCTGAAACTAATAGGGTATTATTATCTGTATGAACACTTGTTTCCATCCAAGTCGATAGACATACTTGTATGACCTTTTCAGCATCTTCCAACAAAGCTTTTGGAGACTTTAGAAACCTGCCGAGTTTCTCTGGGATCTAAAGTAATAAAGTGTTCGTCTTCATGGTGCACATCACACATAAAAGATCTTCAAGCTCACTTGATCTCCAATAGCCACAAACTGACATGTTTTTTTGCATAATGGACACTTGTCTACACATTAATCCACCCATCCACCCATCCACCTACAATCAGCAGTTGTTCTTAAAATGTGATTAATTACCCAGACCATGTTGTCGACATGGCGAACACACGATATGGCTACAGTCTGCCATATAGAATACAACGTCTTTATCCAACAACTTATCAAGGCAAATGTGGCAATGTGTCATTTAGATTAAAGTGAAAGAAAAACTGTGTATTTTTTTTGCTGATGACATGAACAATATAACACTCCAACTTGGGATGATGACGACTGTATAATTTACATGATGATGAAGAGGGCGAAAATAATTCGAAATTAAGAGTTGAGCTTGTACTTGTAACTATAGAATATCAATTTGTTAAACATACAATTTCACTTAAATAAATTCCAATTAATTCATTTTCATGCTAAACTTACCCGCATTTCTTGCAGTTGTAAAATACTGTCTGGCCTTCATCGGCAGAGCGTAGCTGCATAGTATGGTAGGCCATCTCGTCGTTTCCGCAGCTCGGGCACTTCTCTTTGATCTAAAAAAAACCCCCAAAATGTGTAAGTTTCGCCAATAAATATAATTTCACTTTAATATTAGGCTTTTTGCAGGGCAAAATTACCATAGCTTCAGCCTCCTTTTGGTTGCTCTGCTGAACCAAATGACGCTTGTTTTTCAGTTTGGATTGGAAAGCACGTTCAGAAGAAGTTGTGACAACCTTTGTGGATTCATCACCTATTTTTCATTTAAAACTTTATAAACTAAGGCTTGCTTTTTGTATAGGGCTTACCAGCTGTTTTGTAGGCAAAGCTACATTGGTTGCAAAGAAGAATATCATCATCACCACCGGCCATGTCCAGTAGGTTACCACATTCTGGGCAAAATACAAGCGATCCAATGACGTTGGACAAGGGAGTGATGGTTGTGTCAGTCATGGCAAATGAAAGTAAAGAAGACCCCAAATAAAAAATCCATAGTCTTGGTCGTACTATACGATAGGCAGTCACACAAAGCCACTTATTGAGGTGCAATGAAGCGGTTAAGCATAAGTATGTTTTGACACATTTGAAAGGCGCACAATTCGAGGTGTAGTGAGGCAAATATAATAATGGTCAGGTCACAGAGGTTTAAATATTGTGATGCAAGATAGCTGTATAAAACTATGAAAATGCAAATTTAACAAAAGTATAGTTTTTTCTATTACAACAAAGTGCGCTTTATTATTTTAAGATTTGAGAAGAGTTTGCTGCGTTTAACTAGAAGGCTCAGAGACAACTATCAGACATACGGCCGTAAGAATATCGATCCCTAACAGAGGATTCAAGGCGCATTTTTGGGATGATTTTTTTTTTATTTAAACAAAAAATTGAGCATACATTATATAAAAAAAATAGTGCCAAAATGTTTAATAAGTTAACAACCTAAGAATACTTTTCTGTACTGTTTATTTGAAAAGAAGATTCATTCGCAAAGGTTAGTAACTCTTAAAATTACGCATTATATTCTCGAATTGTACGCCTTACGAATGTACTTTACTGTATACCTTGACAGGTTAGGTGATAAAAATTACTTTGATCATTTTTCAGGCACCTATACTCTGTATGGCCATTTTTTTTAATGATAAGAAGAAGAAAAGAAAAATGTCTTCTTAAAAAATTGAATCATGCGTATAAATTTTTGTATATGTCTCTATATGTCTACCTCATTTTGGTTTCATTTTGATACGTAAAATATTTAATTGTATAAAAAAAACTACTCATCATCGCTATCTTCGTCGGACTCTTCTTCAGCATCATTGAGCCATTCAATAAATGCTGTTGACTTTTCCCTCAATTTTCTTTCGGCAGGTGTACCAGATTTGGCAGCTTCAGATGTATACCACTTCATAACAGCATCCTCGTCAACAACATCAGCATGGTACAGCAGTTGAAGTGCGCCCGCAAATAGCTTTGTGAATGCATCTCGAGACGCACAGTAGTTCTACAGATTCATTAGTCTATGGCTTCTTTTTTAATTTCTTTAATTTCTAATTATTCCTACCTGTAGTGTCAATAAGACGTGTGCCTGATCGTCCAGGCTGTGTGTGACTTTGGTAATCAAAGGACCCCACTTGTTGAACACGAGCTTCATGCTGCTGACAGGGTTGGCAATATCAATATGATCAATCAGAGCAGGAATGAGCACCTCTCTGACTTCGGTATATGTACCATTGCTGGACATACGAAGACCAGTAATCTCAAGTGCTGCGGTATCTACTGAATGGTTTTCTTCCAAAGCTCTGCCAATTGTTTGCGCGATTTCGTTTTTGAAGTCGGCAGACTGTTTGGCAGTGGTGACAGAGGAATCCAGGTTCCAGGCACCGCCAATAGAGCCACTATCTGACTCAACATCTGAGAAGTCCCCAATCTCAGAGGCACTGTCTGACAGCTCGTGATCTTCCAGAACAAGATCTGCCATGTCAAATGCTACTCACCAACATTTTATATCAGCTAATTGTGTAAATTGTTTTTTTGTTTCATCCTTTCCCCTCACTTACCCAAACCTCCCAACTTGGTGTTGCGAACATCTTCCTCATCATCATCGCCAACACGATCCACCCAGAAATATACAGGCGCATGCTTGCCAGTCAATACACGCTGATGGTCTATACCAAAATATTAGATAAAGCAGTAATTAACCGAACAATATTAGCGGGTGCCTACCGTCTTCTTCTTCTTCTTCCTCGTCACTGTCATCTGCAAAGATACTGTTCTTAGGTTGAGGTTCCAAACTGAGCTTAGAGTATTTGGGGATATCTTCTTTAGGACCCAGTGAAACCTGCCCATGAAAATGCGTAAGTTAATCCTCCTTCACCTTATATAGGGCTAAATTACACACTTACACCAACTGACACAAGTGAACCCTTTTCGATCGTGGTACCCTCCAATAGTGTGACATTGTTGGCCAAAATACTCTTGGTCACTTTGCAGTTCTTTTCAATTACACATCCATCCCACAAAAACGCGCCTTCCAAGACAACATTATCACCAATATTACAGTTACGTCCAATAACAGAGTGTGCAATACGTGTACTTTGTCCAATAACAGACCCAGACCCAATCTGCACATCCTCATCAATCATACACGACCTATTCAAGTGTTAATACTTGTATTCATTTTCATAGCTATGAAAACAAAACAAAAAGGCATTTTTTTACCGTGAAAGAGAGACGTTTCCGGATTTGTAGATATTCCCTCTAGAAAATTCATAATCATCTCCCTGTTTGAGGTTTGTCTCAGGAACCACTGGGAATGCCCAACGGTTGAGGATGTGTTTGCTAAAAGGGTTTAGTTTTTCTAGCTTATGGCTTATATGTTTCATATATTACCTGACAGTAGCATAAAGCTGCTCATTCTCAATACGAGCAACATAAGGTTCGGATACTATGTGAGTATAGACCGTCTTTCCAAGAATATCTGATGTCAAGATACCATGTAAGAAGTCTCTTCGGTGACGCTGCCAGTCAAAGTTTTCGGACAACAAAGCAGGGACCTTTTATAATAAATTAGTTATTATTATCTTGGCAAGCTTCTTCCTTGTATTTTACCTCTACGGAGCAAATGTCCAAACGAGGATCTACCAAATCATTACGGAACTCTACTTGTGTACGGTTCTCAAAAATCTCGGGAGACATCTCAAATCGGCCCTTTCTTGGCAAAGCGGTTACAGGCTCGTAAAACAAGCAACGCTCTGTTTTTGGATCCAGTACAAATACACCTGTATTATCCTTGGGTCTACAGCAATAAAGTTAACTCACTATATATAATTATCTATGACTATAATTATTACCTTGAGGGATGTGTGCGAGTAGTTTCTTTGAGAACCATAGTCATGATTGAGTTTTTGTCAGTCTTCTTGCGTGCCCGGTGTGCCTCAAGAGCTTTATCAAGTTTGATGTTAGAGACAAGGTCGCCAATGGTCAGAATGAAATCAGAAGTAATGAGTTGGCGTGCGTCCAATTCACGTAGTGCATCCCCAACAGACATGGCATCGGGAGTCTGTACGATCTGAACATTAAGTTTGCATTGGGGGCTCATCCATGAAGAGTTTCTGTGTACCAAGAATTAACATGAGTAAAAAAGAATTACTCAAACAAAAAAAAGTTTAAGTAATCAGGAAACTCACTCGAAATAAGCCTTAATTGTCTCAATATGTGATGTGCAAACAATAAACACTTCCACCACATCAGCGATTGCAAGAACTTCGAGAGTATACTCAATCAATGGAATGTTGCAAAGTGGCATAAGGCACTAAGAGTAGGAAGGATTCACACTATGAGTGTGTGCCTCTTCGGAATAGCATAACTTCTTTCTTACTCGAGGCATTTCATGGGATATGGGAAGGAAACGTTCATCGTAGCTGTCGGTTAAGATAACAGCCTGGAAAGGTTGCTCATCGCCATCATTGTTCTGGGCCTGAGTGGCTCGCTTGTTCTTTGGTGGCATGGTGTTCTGTATTTGTCAAAGGCACGTTAGATTTGGCGTGGGTTCTGACACAGAAAAAAATCGTGCAGTGACTGCGAATGTCAAGGGAAAGGGGGGAAAAAGTACCCAAAGCGATATCTCTCCAATGCTTCAAAGTGATTATTTCTATTGGTAGGTTTATATAGTGTTAGATACAGAACAGTTTGTCTACTAACACACTGCATATAGATCTGCTCAGCGTAAAATTTACTTGCGCATATTTAGATAATATCATACCGGTACAGTATTCTTTTTTGGGAAGAGGTGACGTATTTCACAGATGCTTCCTTGATACTTTTTTTTATATGAGCTTTCTTCCAAGTCCTTTTTTAGCAAAGATTATATATATATATATGTGTGTGTGTGTGTATGTGAAGTCCTGTGATAAAATGGCAATATATTACATGAATTTAATTTGAATGTAAGCTAGCTTTTAATTCTCTCAAAGGCATAGTATTCGATAACATTTTACCTGAACCCAAAGGGGTTCAATGAAATCGGGCATTGAATATTCCCGAGAATGAAGAGCTGGTGGACGCTGATAGGCAAGTTTTATTTCTTCCTTCTTTTTCCAAGATGACCGATACCAATTCCTTGGACGTGAGTGTTTCTAACGATGGAGAGCGCATTCTGTGTAAGGCGCATTCGAATGAGGTGTGCGAACAGTGTCACATGGATTGGACGGAACACAATGCTCTTGCGACTACTCTCAAGCAAGTCAAAGATTTACCACCACCAAATGCACCAAACCCGGTACGCAATGCTCAGGTGAACCGATTAAAAGAAGAAGGCAACAAATACTTCAAGCAGGTCAACTACACAGAAGCCATTCGCTTTTACACCATGGCAGTTGAATTATCCTGGGCCCGTCCTCTGTGGGAACCTTTGGCTTTCCAGTATGTCCGAGAAGAGCTCGCGCCTGTTCTGAGTAATCGATCTGCAGCCCAACTAGCTCTTAGAAACTACGTGGACGCACTGGTGGATGCTGAGATGGTAACGAGGCTGAAGCGTGAATGGAGCAAGGGCTGGTTTCGAAAGGGTAAGGCCCTCATGGGTCTTAGTAGACCTGAGGAAGCGGCCGAAGCATTCCAAACTGGTCTTCGTTTTGATCATGAAAGTGATGAACTCACCAAGGCATTAAAAGATGTAAATTCAGTATTGATTACAGCATAAACTTTATTTTTCGCACTTTCTGCTTTCATTTTCAACCTCTCTACCTATATATCTATGTCTTTCTCTTTTGCTCGCAATATTTTGTTTATTGTGGGGGGTTTTTTTTTACTAATACACAACAGAGAAAATTACATTAACATTATGTGATGTGCTTGTGGGCAGATATCGTTAACCAGTTTCAAAAGTTCATCCGAGCATTGATTTATATCTAGCTCCAAATGTGTAAGGCAAGAGTTCACAAATGAGGCGTTTGAAGTATATATGACATTGATACGATTGAGTTTCAAGACGCGTAATCCTGAAAAGTTCTTGAGAGCCCAGTTGATATTCAAATCAACTGAGAAAGGTTTTACACGACTTCCATAAATCTCAAGTTGTTTGAGATTATAGGAAGGAGCAAGAAGCTTTACCAATCTCAATGTGCTGAAGTATGCTTTGTTGTCGGTAATATTTGAAAGCGACAGGATCTCGAGATCACTCCAAATAAACCCGGATTTAATCTCGCCAAGGGCATCCTCGTAACGATATACCATTCGTGGATTAAACTGATCATCCCAAGGTGCACGAATAACTTGTATTGAAATTTTGAGAAGTCTTGGATATTTTTTGATAAAGTACACAATCCATTCAGGCTCAGTTACTTTAACATTTTTCAATTTAAAATAACGTACGGTGGTTGCTTGGGACTGTTCAATGAGAGCGTTGCCTGCAAGAGTAAGATTTCGCAAGTGGATTGTTTGAATATGTTTGCATGAACCGTGTATGTTATCAATATCTTGAAATTCTAGGCTTGGAGAGCCTTCGTCTGGTGTATGTTGTATGACTTGGATAGTTAGATCTTTTAACATTGGCATCTTGATAATCAGGCTACACAGTAATCTTTTCTGAAAACGCATGGCTGAAAAATGCGTGAGGTTTTTCGCGTATACATCCGAAAGGTCAATTGGAGTGTATTTGCAATTGGTAGCTAGTCTTGTTAGATTTGGCAAAGCGCCATTCTCCTTCACAAGATTATTCCATAGCATGGAAGACACACTTAAGTCCTCCAAAAATGGAAAACTTCGAAGTAGTAGACGCCAGGGATATACTTTTTGGCCAATAGCCCACCTCAAAGTCATCGAGCGTACAAGATATCTGAAATCGCTGGCCGATGTACTCGATATATCCATGACTCCCGATTTTAAGAAAAGATTGCCTGTTCGCTCGTTCTTTAGTTGGATGGTTGAATATAATGAGGATTGGAATATATTATGCCAGTGTCTAGAGACGCGAACACATGTTGCTTGATCTTTCTGAGTTAAAAGATGAATAATAGAGCTTATAATATCCTCAGGAAGATTGTCTAGCATTGCTATGTCCTCTTTTTTTTTAATAAACAAAAATAGTTGTAGGAATTGGTAGCTTTTATACCTTTTCTTACAAGAAAAAATACACATGCAAAAGCGCAGTAACACTTATATCACTAAAACCATATGTCTACAATGATACCATTTGGTGGAATATATATATAATTAAAGGTGGTTAAATGAGTGCCTTAAAATCATATTGTTTTTTTCTCAAAGGTTAATCGTAATTAAATATGATTGGTTTAAAAAGAAAAAGAAAAGGTTCTAATAGACTGCCCTAACTTATCTTGTTTGCGGCAAAGGGAATAACTTGATTTATTGTTTGTGATAGTCTTATAAAACCGTATCCAAAGGTTAGCATTATTTCCACTAAATTATTATACAAGACTTTTGGAGTAATTGAGTACATATATATATAACAACACGTGATTATTAGAAAGCACTGAGAAGAGAAGGCTGGTAAAAAAAAGAAAAGAAAAAAAAAGAATAGTATAAATTATCTGTGACTCCTGGCTTCAAAAGTAATCGCTTGCTTTCGTAAGCAAAATGGACCTAAACTCTGAATACTATCAAACCGCATTCAGCAAACCTACTGTAACAGCGGAACATCCACAACGACAACTACTTATAATCGATCCCAATGGCACCATCGTATCACGCGGCAAGCTCAAGGACATGAAGGTCCGGCCAATGCCAAAGAACTTCTTAGAGTTTTGCTTTACGAATTTCGAGGTCATGGTCTGGAGCTCAGCTCAAGCTACTTCTGTAAGCGACATGTGCCATCTTTTTGGAGAGTATCGCAAACGCTTGAAGCTCATTTGGAGTCGCGAAGATTTCGGATTGGCATCTAAACAATTCTACGACGACACAGAACTTGTGAAGGATCTTTCTCGTGTTTGGTGGACTCTAAAGGATTTTGGGCCTACAAACACCATTCTTCTTGATGACTATTCGGCAAAATCCAACTTACACCCTTACAACAGTATTATTCTCAAGACGTTTAACCACAAAGAGCACGCGGAATTATTGAATGGAGATGGAGAGTTAGCTGGTGTAATGAAATACCTAGACAAATTACGGTATCAAACCAACGTTGCAAACTATATACGATATTGCAAATATGAGAGTCCATGGATATCTCACAAGGAACCATGGATGTTCATGGTTGAAGAGTATAATTTTAGTGATGGTCATATCACACGAGTTTTACATGACGTGAAGAATGACGAATTCAAAAATTTCTGCGTAATCAAGTTCAACTCATACACGTGGGATTATTCGTATACATCTTTTAAACTAGATCTTGCTCTGGAGAAGTCAGGCTTAAAGTATGCAACTGCAGCAAGTGTATCAGCCGAAGGCTCAAGAAACACTTTGAATGATGTACCTGACGCTGAAACTATTGAATATCCGAACGCAAAATCCAGACGCATGCCACCTTCTATTAAACCATTCAGGCCTACAGATGTGAAAATAAATCGACCGTTTACTAGTACCTTGAATGTTCCAACAGCAACAAATAAAGTACCACTCGGCAGACCGTTGAACCCACTACCCTCTAGTGTGAAACCTCAGATTTCTAGAAATCCTGCGGATGTTGGGATTGTTGAACCAGTAAACACAGTACTGGCCAATAAGATCAGCCAAGAGACTAGACATTCACCATCAATGGCATCATTTGTAAATTCAGTCAAAGAAAAGGTGGAAGCAGTAATTAGCAATCCAAAATTTTCTCAGGCAATACCAAACAACCCGGTGTTTAGAAGCCCAATCCCGACTGGCCCGGCATCCAGTAACCTTCCGACAACTAAGAACCAAATACCTACCGGCCCAGTTATGCATCCAGATAGAATGATTCGAGCCTTGTCACCGTCTATTAATCCGCTTATCAATACTATTAACAAACCCCCAAACCCGGTACTTGTTGATCCGCTCATGCATCCAGATAGAGCCATAAGAGCCATGTCTCCCTCTGCACGCCCATTAATATGGGCACAAAGAGAATCTATTGACAACGAACTTGTTAATAAAGAGCCTGTCCGCACTTTAATTCACCCAGACAGAGCTGCAAGAAGTAGCTCACTATCTAGCGAAACGTCTAGACGCCCATATAATGAACCCATTAAAGTATTGCCTGAATCTGCGAAAGAAGCGAGAACGCTTGCTTATAATACTACAGAAAATGCTTTGGCTCGTGACTTCCAACACAAGAATGATATGGAGAGGGTTCAGGAAGAGAGAATCAGACTTACCCCAGACGATGCCTATTCCTATTCCTCAAAAGACTCCCAAACAAGAAGTAGATCCCCGCCACGTACGCACCAAGTAAAATATGATCCTAATAGCATTGAACATAGTCGCGAGAGGATGTGGATTAGGGACTCTGACAAAGGCCAGGAGAGAGGTCTCGATAGGAGCCGCGATCTAAGTCTCGATAGGAGCCGCGATCGAAATTTTTATAGAAGCCGCGATCAAGGTCTTGACGATAGTCTTGAGAGAGATCTCAAGCGAAGTCCTAATGGGAGTCTAGAGATAGATCGTAAGCGAAGTCTTGATAGGAGTCTTGAGAGAGGACGTGAACGAAGTCTTGATAAGATCCTTGAAAGAGGACGCGAGCAAAGTCTTGATAGGAGTCTCGAGAGAAGTCGTAAGAAAAGCCTTGATAGGAGTCTTGAGAGAGGTCGCGAGAAAAGCCTTGATAGGAGTCTCGAGAGAGGTATCGAGAAAAGCCTTGATAGGAGTCTCGAGAGAGGTCGCGAGAAAAGCCTTGATAGGAGTCTCGAGAGAGGTATCGAGAAAAGCCTTGATAGGAGCCTCGAGAGAGGTCGCAAGAAAAGCCTTGATACGAGTCTCGAGAGAGGTCGCAAGCGAAGTCTTGTTGAGAGTTACAACAGAAGCTTGGAAGAAGGAATTAGAGTCTTTCGAAGATACCATAGCAGAAGCAGAAGCAGAAGCAGAAGTAGCAGCATCGGCAGCGCCAGCACAACCACTAGCGCCAGTACCGGCAGTACCACCAGCAGTACTGACAATACCACTAGCAAAAGCATAAGCAGAAACACACACAAAAGTATGAACAGAAGAAGGTACAGGGACAGAGAAAGGGGAAGAAGCAGAAGCAGAAGCAGAAGCAGTAGCAGGAGCAGGAGCAGTAGCAGTAGCAGGAGCAGGAGCAGGAGCAGGAGCAGGAGCAGGAGGAGGAGCAAGAGCAGAAGTCAAAGCCGAAGCAGAAGTAGAAGCGGAAGCAGAGACAAAGGCGGAGACAGAGGCAGAACTAGAGACAGAGACAGAGACAGAGACAGAGACAGAGACAGAGACAGAGACAGAGACAGAGACAGAGACAGAGACAGAGACAGAGAAAGAGAAAGAGGCAGAGGCAGAACCAGAACCAGAACCAGAAACAGGAACAGGAACAGGAACAGGAACAGGAACAGAAGCAGAAGCAGAAGCAGAAGCAGAAGCAGAAGCAGAAGCAGAAGCAGAAGCAGAAGTCAAAGCCAAAGCCGAAGCCGAAGTAGAAGCCGAAGTAGAAGCCGAAGTAGAAGTCAAAGCATAAACAGAAACAGAAACAGAAGTAGCAGCAGCAGCAGTAGTAGTTGTAACAGTAGCAGAAGCAGCAAAAGCCCTACCAGAATTCATAGTAGAAGTAGATCTCCACAAGATAGCCGTACTCACTACTCTGAGGGTCACAAATATACGTATTCTCGCCGGAATAGCAAAAATAAAGATAAGCGCAAAATGGTTCCTTGGGCTACTTTATTTGAAGCAAACAAGAAACCATAAATATTACGCTTTATCTTACTATATTTCTTCTATTTTCGGAATGGGCTGACCAAAACTCGTTGCTGACATTTTCTTTATCTACACACACACACACAAATGAATATAGCCATAAGCAATTGATTTATATAAAACCAATAAACCAAATCGTTCAAAAAAATTAAAATCATTTATTTGGTGAATGCACAACCCAACAATTCTATATTTTGAATATTTACAGTTAAAGCTCGATATAGTGGTATTATAGTGTTTCTACATGAGATTGATACGATGTTAGTTTTTTTTTTGGACTAATGGAAATTAATTTCTAGGCAATTTTTTTTACCTTTTTTGAACAAACAAAAGTGAAAATTGAGACACAAAAGAATAAAATTTGTGATAGAAAGGGAATTTAGTTGAGACAAGGTAAAATAAAAAGGAGATTCTGATAAAAGGTACTGATAGAATAGTTAATTGATGGAGCTTGTCTTTTTCTGGTAATCATCCAAAAAATATAAATGTATAAAGAGCATATCTGAGGGGGTGTCGAGTTGTGATAATCTCAAGATAACTAAAAAATAATTATTTGTAAAACTCAATCAAAAATATAAAAAGAAAACTCAAGGACAGTTATGAAGATTATAAGTTGAAAACATTGATACTAAGAGTTTTAGAGGAAATAGACCTTAATAAACTTGACTTTCCAAGACTTATTCTATTAAGTAAATGTGAAGAAGAGGCTCCTGGCTATTAAATATTTTGTTTCGAAGTGGGAAGAACTAGCCCAATTTTTACTAGAAGTTTAGTGAGCATTTGAAGTCAAAAATCAGGGAATCCCTAACTTTTGGCTTCAAATGCTCACTAAATGGCCTCCACCACTAAATTTGCGAAACAAATATTGGAATTTAATTCGCCGCGTAAAATACAAATTTGCAGACATTTGCAATTTAGGCTCGAAGACACCTTCCCTAATAAACCGAGATGCTTATTACTTTTATTACTATTGTCATTATGCCGCTTGTATGGAATGTAAAATAAAGTAAGGAGAAACAAAAAGTTTTGATTTTGGTTATTTTGCGAAGAGATTTTATGTACAAGTGTACAACATAATTAAATAATCATTGACAAATAAAATACTTTACATATTTGGCTTCTCAAAGCCCTAATTCTAAAATAATTAAGCATGCGTGGGAGTATATGAGACACTATTTTATAAAGAAAAAAAGCCTGGCTAACTAATGCTAAAGATACCAAGTCCCGTATTGACAAAGAATGGAAGAAGGTGGATCTATAATTTAGAGCAAAGTTTGTTGCAAGCATGCCTGACATAATTAAGGCTGTCATTGATGCTCATGATGGAAATACCAAATATCGAACACTGTTTTTCTTTTCTTCTCAAATATATATATATATAATACATTACACTTTTTTGGAATATAAAATTATATATCCTTATCGTGAAAAGTTCAAGAGTTATTTGTTATAGAATACGATGTGTATATTTTTGGGGTGCTAGACAGTACACTTTTGGTAAGACTTCTTTTCGTATGAGTGTATAACTAGAAGCTAATTAAAATACTCAAGTATTAGTCTACTTTTACAGCAACAATAAAAACTTTAACAAAGGGCATTTCTGATTTATTTATTATTCCTATTGCATATTTACTACTCTTTGATAGAGACACTATGGCTAGAATGTACAAGACAGACAGAATCCAGCTGCACGTTTCACGTCATGTACAAACATAGCGTGCAAAATGAAATCTTTCTTTCTTTCTTTCTTTTTTTCCCGGCTTAATCCAGTGATGCCAAACGCATCTTTTCTAACGGGACTGGGGTGAATTGGTGGACATCAATGTTTCTAAAACGCAATTCTTCTTGGCAGTATGATGGTACAAGAGAATGAATAAGATCAGGCCGGACTGATAATTCTATATAATTCTCAAATCAGCCACAATATCATGCCTCAGCCATGGTCATTATGGTTTACCTTCATGAGTAAAATTGAAAAGCAATGGCAATTCTCGTCCTGTAGCCATCTTGGTGTCTGGGTTGCGGAGTTCGTCAAAGAATGGGTGTACAAGAGCTTCACTGGCTGTCAGACGTGTCTCGGGTTCATATTGCAAGATGCGAGAGAGCAGATCAATCGCCTCTGGAGGTGTCCTTGAACGGAAGACCTACATGAATGCCTAGATTAAGTACCGGTTATACATTTTAGGTGTAGAATTACCTTTGAGAGGGGATGGGGCTTGATTTGAGGGAATTTGTGATCGGTGTAATGAGGGTTCATGGTTGCAATTTGTTCTTTCGACGGTGTGCCCAGCACTTTAATTATTTCTACTAACTGATCGATGCCACTCTCTCCTGGGAATAAAGGCTGACCAAGGAGTAGTTCACCCATGACACATCCAGCCGACCAAATATCGATACTAGTCTTGTAAGACGTCGCTCCAAAAATTAATTCGGGTGCACGGTAATAGCGTGAGCAAATATAGGCAACGTTGGGTTCGCCTGAAACCAAGATCTTTGCACTACCCAAAAGGTTTTTGTTCAATTTAATCATTTTTTTTTATATTTCTTTGTAACTCGATTTTTTTATTGTTCCTTACCTTCCAAAATCACATAACTTCAGAACACCAGTAACTGGATTTACAAGCAAGTTCTGAGGTTTGATATCGCGGTGGCATATTCCAAGAGTATGTGAGTAAGCAAGTGAACGAAAGAGCTGGTACATGTACAGCTTCACGATCAACATTGGTACTGGTTGCTTAATCTTGGCATAGTGACGAGATACTCTGTGGACTGTTTCAGGTACATATTCCATAACCAAGTTTAAGTACACCTCATCCTTCTTTGAACGTGTGTAAAACATGCGAAAAAACCAAGGATAATAATACCGTATGAGCTCTACGTTTGACAGGCCCTTTTGAACCCTTCCTCAACAGCAGGTGCCGCTTTTACCTTTGCATCTCCTTGAGTGTAGAAATAAGCTTTGAGAGCACAGACATTCGGATGGTCCATTAATCGCATGATTTGTAATTCGCGATTCTTAAATCAAATAATAAATAATAAATAATAAAAATAGAACATACATCAACTCTTTTAGATATCAAGACACATAAGTAAAGCATTTCCTTCCTCTAAAGCACTCTATAAATAGTAAATTACCTTGAAGCGTCTGTCCTGCAGGACCTTCTTAATAGCACAATCCTCTCCAGTGTGCACAAGCTTGGCCTGATAGACAACGCCAAATGATCCGTTACCAATTACTTTCTGGTTAGTGTATTGTAGCTGGATATCGAGCCCTGTCTTTCCATCCTTTGCTGGAACACGAACTGTCCGAAGAATGTCGTTGGAGTCGCCTGGATTAGGAGATAAAACACTCTATATTAGAGTTGGTCCATCTCATGGTGAATAACTCACCTGAAAGCTTAAAATGACTAAAGTTTGAGGTGGACATTCCCGAGTGATTGAATGATGCTGTGGTTTCGTTGTGGTTCATTCGTTAATTTGGGGGATTTAAGATGAGGGCAAAGAGAAAAATGTAAATAGTAATGGCGTGTGATAGATGGTGTTAGACAAAGGGAAATCCAAAGTATGAACAACGTGTTAAGGGAAAAAAAAGAAGAGGAGCTCAATGCGGAAGATGAAGTGACGCATCAGAGAGGAAACGTCACTCTGTGGCCATTGGCTTTTTGTGCAAGGTTTTTTTTTAATATACTGATCAAAGAAAATGGGTGTCATATTCTAACGACTTCTTCACATTTTTCCGAATAATCCTGTGTTATACGTGGCTGTCAGTATGTGTGTATTTTTCTTACTTCTTCCTAAAGTCTAATCTTGTCTTAATTGAATAAAACGAAAACCTTTTTTTCAAGTCATTCTTGTATCCTTTCAAATAATATATGTGCATGAAATAGTGTAGAAAAGAAAGCCAAAATATTATATATATTATTTAAAAATAAAGCACGGCTTTCTTTTCATATAATTTATGGTATTTTACTTAGAGGGTGGAGTGCTCCTTATGTAAGTATGAAGGAAAAGAATATTTCAATCACTGGAAGCCAAAAGTGATTAATATATAACAATGAAAAGTAGCAAGTTGAATAAACTTGCTTAATTTACACTACTGAAAAAAAAGGCGATTTTAGTGAGATTGTTGCAATTTTCCGGGGTTTAAAATATTTTTTATGGTGGGATTTTAATAAAGCACAAATTTATCTCTCTTTTATATATATCTCACTTTTTACGCTACCATGTTTTTGCAGTCAATGCAAAACATCTTTTTCTAACTTCTTCAACCCAGTACAAGAATTAAAGACGATAGAATTATTCAAATCTAATAGCTTAATAATAGGTATCTTGGGTGCATCCTAGGCGGTAACCAGGAGGTATTATCTGTTATTCTCTTTGAAGACTTTGTCAGTCTTTGTCTCAAACGACCACCCTCCTGAATATATTCTCCTGCTTGTCTTCTAATACGTCCAATTTGAATGACACAGGTAAACCTCTCAGGTATAGTACCATCATGCCTCAATTGTTTAAGTATATGCCGGAGTTTCAGGACAGCAGCAAGATTTTAACTTCACTAACAATGCTTAGCCTGTAACGGATCCATGTTCTCCAAACAATTTATATTGGTCCATATAAAAGGACTAATAGGAATAAGGATAATGAGAATGAAGAGTTTGTAGTATTTACCATAGAAGACCAAGGCGGGTCACAGTTGTCATCTGGTTGCGGCAATATGGGCGAGGATTGAGGTCTTGCTTGAAGGTTCGAAGGGACAGTTGGCAGCATCTCAAACAGTGTCTAGAGGTAATATACGCATCGACCAAACAAACATCAAATCCATATTCGTGCAGTATCTTCCTCATTCCTACACCCTTGATTGGTTAATTCTATCTATCGTTAGGGGCAGACCAGTTTCCCACGACCAAGACAAAATTTTGACTAAACCCATCACGAAGAGTTTTGGATAGACACTCGTCGGTTTTGCGTTGGTTGACGTATGAGGAGAGTCAAAACTTGCGGAACCGAGGTTGCTGGCTGGTATGCCTTACGATACTTGCATAAAAAGAAATGATGATCGAGGAGTTTGCTGCTCTGACTAAAGAGTGAACAGTAAAGTTTGCGATGTTATTGGTTCGTCCTGATATTTAGGATATTTCATGTTCTACAGTATTAAATACAGGGTTTAAGCTTTGAGATCCACAAAAATACGACGAAGCCTGCCTCTCTTAAGTTGAACTCTTTGTTGGTTGAAGGTGTATCGGTAAAAATATGGTATCACCACTGTAGACTTCTTGTGCATGCGGTACAAAAGGTCTCTTTGTCCAGGATCGATAAGAACATGCCGCCTTAGGATTATTTCATGATTTTCTGGGGGTAAGTTATGAATGTAGGGAATACCTTCAGTGTCAATTGTGATAGACCTTCTGGGATTCGGTTCTTGGCTAGTGTCTTGAGCCATCTTAATAATGGAGGTACCAACACCATTGGTCTGAGTTGTTCTTTTGAACTTTATCATCCCGTTCTGTCGGCCAAAGAAATATTTGCTGTCCACGCCCACCACTCGTTTCTACAGATATAGCTTGTTCATCAATGCTCTCCAAGTTATTCTCAGGATTTGCTGTTACAGGATCCTAGCATAAACTTGCATATAGCGTGGTGACCAGGATCGACGAAGAGGGAGGCAGTAAAATGATCCATGTCCAAGATGTTCAAGGAGTTGGGCTATACAGAAGAATTCGAGGAAGTGATTGTGAGAAGATGCTTTTGAGTCATAGTAGATAAAGCTCTTTTGGAACATATATTTTTCTGGATAGACGGTCAAAATTTGTTTAATGAATGTGTATACTATTATGTATTTTTCGGTGAATAAGCTATCAACTTGGCGAGTTAAAACTCTTTCCTTAAACATTCTTGCGGGTTGGAAGATATCATTTGTTATCCTTATTTTGACTTGCTTCCTGGTTGCTCCTTGTTCGCACAGGTGCTTGGTAAGCTCTCGCTATCTTCTTCTCACATCAGGCGAGGCATTGATTACTCGGCGGGAATGCTGACCAAGACTTGTCTTGATATTGGCTATGCAGGTGGCGTGGATTTGTGTGGCCTTGTAGATAGTAATTTGGTGAACATTTGAGAGTGATATGCGAGTGTAGGAGCTGTTATGAATATAGGTATTAGTGTGGAGGGAAACGAGCTCACGGTTCGACTTTGTTTTTCTGTTATTCGGTAGGAGTCAGTATGGTGCTCAATTAGTGAAAGAAGCACCTCGACAAAAAATATTGTTTTATATATCCACTTAGGTAAAAGGATGGAGCGCACGCCAGCTCAGCAGGAGAGATATGCTTGCTTAGTGTGCAGGTGTGTATGTGGAATTTATGTGAGATTTAGTAAACAGATCTTGTAGGGGACTAAGGAATTGTGGCCTCAATCCAGTTGGTTGTAGATGTCTTGACAGTAAGGGTTTGGAATGGGGTAATCTCGCTCAGCATCTTCTAATCCACAAATGGCTATAGATATGAGGCTCTATACGGTGCTTTTGAAAGTGACAATTGATAAGCATTATATACTAAGAGTTTACGTCACTGTATATACAATGGGTTAGTCAACGGAGTACTTGCAAGAGTTAAAGATAAAGTTGTGTATTGCGTAAAATTATTGCACGTCAATCGTGTTTTCTTTTATAGATAGATATATCCATACATCTATCATATATGTCTTTGTTACATAAGAATATAGTACGTAATTAACCAGATAAATATATTGGTTGATAGATATAAAGGAGAGCTGTTTAAAGATATTAATCATTTTATCATTATCCTGTATGTAGATCAAAGTAAGTTTTAGATTCCTTGTATTTGTTCATTGGCCTTGATTAAGTAACAAAAGATAAGGAAGGAATCACTTTATACTTTTACATGGCTTCTCAATAATTACTTGGCCTTTATTTTTTCTGTCAAGGCTTTGACTTCCATCTTTATGTGGATCAATTTCGAGAAGAAGCGTATGCTCTTTGTCAAAATAGCAATCATTACAGAAAATGATATTATTTTAATTGATTTTACGCAGGCAAACAGTCTATATTAAGCAATATATATCTCTATAGACAATTAAAAGAAATGAGAGTTATATGCTAAGTATAATTGAACATTATGTTTACTATGAAATCAGATGATATATTAGAATAATAGTATATATCAGTGAGCTTCAATACTTCTACAAATCGTTTTCACTATAAAGCTGTTATTATTGAAATTATTCAGCTTATATTTCCATAGGTATATGTGTAGAAGTCAAATAATCAATAAAATTATCACAAATCGCAATATGAATGAAAATACTGGTGGAGACAAAGACAAATTACGAAGGTGCAATTGTGTAAATGGTCTTTTTTTTTTAAAAAAAAAAAGAAAAAAAAAGAATACATAGTTCAATTACAATTGAGCCCTTTGTCTTTGGGTTTTATATAATCCCTGGTATGGCTAATCCACATTGAATCACATGTGAGTTGAAATGTAACGGCTGCACATGCTCAAAGGAAGAAATTTATTTCGACCGTTCACTTATTGTACCCCTCAAATGAGATGGCCCTGTGACGGTTCATGTTCATCATCATCTCTTTCTTTAAACTTTGCCAACGATAACTACCATGGCAGCAACAAAGAGAAATCTCCTTCTCAAGGTTTCTTTTGTCGCCTTGGTTTTCCTTGGACTTTCAGTGTGGCTTACTCGTACTTATCAACCGGTCATCCCATATAAGGAAACATCTACTACAACATCACTCCAAGGTGCATCATCTATTCATCAGCCAGCAGACAACACATTAATCTTTGTACCATAGGTACTGAGCCTGCTTCTACTCCTGAACCCCCAATCGATCGTTGCACTGCTACACTTGATGGAAAACCACGCCAACAATATGCTATTATGGTTGATGCCGGTTCTTCTGGTTCGCGTATACATGTCTACCGCTTTAGCATATGTCACGAAGAGCCTCAATTAGAAAATGAAGTATTCCATATGATTGAGCCAGGACTATCTGCTTACGAAAACGACCCCCAGGAAGCAGCAAAATCTCTGGATATATTGATGGAAATTGCCAATGAAAACATACCATTGGAAGAAAAGCATTGTACACCCCTGGCCGTGAAAGCAACTGCTGGGTTACGTCTATTGGGAAACGACAAGAGTGAAATGATTCTGGAAGCTGTACGTTCGCGATTAAAGTCTACCCAACAATTTCCATTGGCAGGAGATAATGCTGTAGAAATAATGGATGGAAAAGATGAAGGTATTTTCATTTTAACTTCATTTGACATGTATTTCTTATTTCTCTCTCTCTCTCTCATACTTGGTTACTCACTCGCATACATACATGTCTATATATAAGGTGTTTATGCATGGGTTACAGTAAACTACTTGTTAGGTAATCTAAAGCCTTCTCGAAGAGGCCAATCCGCTGCTATATTTGATCTTGGCGGAGCATCAACTCAGATTGTATTCGAGCCACAAATGACTTTGAGTTCAATGACAAAGGGCGAGCATGAATACAAGCTTACGTATGCAAATCAAGTTTATCACCTGTACCAACACTCCTATCTTGGATATGGGCTTACAGAGGCTCGTAAGGCAATCAGGATGGCTGCAATTGAGGCATCTAAAGAAGAAGCGATCCGTGACAAGCATGTGTACGATCCTTGTATGCCGACAGACCATGTAGAGAAACATTCATGGACTGACCCTGCTACAGATATAACACATACCATTGACATTATTGGTATAGGTGCAGGACATGATGCCTGTAAAAAGACAGTTGAGCATGTATTTAGAAAAGACAAACTCTGCAAATTACAAGCTTGCGGATTCGATGGAATATACCAGCCTTCTATCAGAGAGACATTCAAAACGCAAGATCTCTATGTGTTTTCTTTCTTCTACGACCTTACTCAACCCTTGGGTATGCCGTCCGAGTTTTCCGTTGGGGAACTCAGTGAGTTGGCAGCCATGGTATGTCACACTGACCACCGGCCATTCCTACACTACCCCTCTGCTATTGAGACAATCAAATCTTCGCCAGAATATTGCGTGGACCTTACATATATAGATAATCTATTGCGATTTGGGTACGATATTCCAAAAGATCGGTTGGTCCGCACAGCAAAGAAGATTCGTGGGGCTGAAACTGGGTGGTGCTTGGGTGCATCTATTGCAATGATTGATCAAGTTAAAGTGTGTCAATTATAATCATATCTAGGACAACGGTATACATACATATAATTTATTTATTTATTTCTTGGCTGTATGAGAAACCTTTGAATTGATACGGTAATGTATTTTTTGGCTTAAATTTAAAGGGCGGACTATTATTATTTTATTTGAGCAGGCAACTCGAAGCAAGATCCCAGAGATATGGATTGAAGTATAAAAATCCGAAACCATTTTTACGTGAGAGTTTCAAAAATAAATAAATAAATAAATAAATAAATAAATAAATAAATAAATAAATAAATGAAAAGGCTTGCTGTTTTGGATATTAAGTTCAGCCGACTCTTTTTCAGACATTGAAGTATATACGCCATTACTATACTAAATATCAACTGATTAACAACAAACAGAACATATAAGTATATGTATTTCTGTTTGTGTAAACGAAAAAAGAAATGGATAAAAAGAACAGATATAAACAAATTATTTATCCGTGAAAAAGAGACAATTAATTTCTGAAGATATAAATGTATCTTCTTTGACACATCTTTACCAGATACCTGGATGAAATACACTACAAGAATAATCACTAGGCTTCTCTAATGTTTCTTTTAAAGGGGTCCGGTATTATTATGGCTTTATTTTTGTAATACTTTAGTGGAAGTTAGATACCTCTTAAGCATTACGTTTACAGTCAAATAGCTCAATGACATGTGTTGTTTCCGGATAACTGCAAACTTTAAAACCTTTTCTTCTTCTGAATTTCATGCTGTTACATTATTTCCTTTTTTCTTCTATTCATTTGTGTATTAGACAATCGTATTATAGATGTAACGTATTACAACAAGAAGTAAGTCAAAAAGAAAAAGTACTGTTTTATCTCAACCAATGCATTTAAATGCAACTGAATGCGCCCTTTGGTTAATAGTGCACCTTATTCTATATTTTGTAATCTTGACACTCGGATTATGGACAACTATCTTATTGAGATTATTTCAAGAAAAGACTATATATCACTTTCCATTGCTGCTGCTGCTGTTGGACTGGCAGCAAAATATTCTTACAATATCTATTCAAACTCGCGTCAAAATTACATTAACAAAGATGGTTTCAAAAATATCCCTTCTCCACCGGGAAGCTATCCTTATATTGGTACAAACCCTTCTAAAAGTATAACAATATGCAAAATATGAGATTAATATATTGTTATATCAAAGGTCACATGCTAACATTGAATATATGTCCGGGAGAACAAGTCAAAAGATGGCACGAAGAGCTAGGTATTTGATCTAACCAAAAGATAATAAAATATAGATACATGCATACATATGTCTGTATGAATACATGGGTATCTACTCACTTTACACTCATCATTAGGTCCTATTATTTCTCTTAAAATGGGTGCTCAGCCATGGGTGTGCATTAGCGATCAAAATATTGCCCATGAGATATTTGTTAGAAATGGTGTCAAATCAGTAAATAGGCCTAATCACGATTTTGGATATCAAGTGTACAGCAGAGGTGGAAAGTAAGCCAATAAAACTGATGTATTTTGACCATTTATTGATTCAGTATATAGAGGTCTTATTTTTGGCTCTACTGATAAAGCATGGAAGAACGCACGAGCAGCTGGTAAGTTTGTGTAGACAGTTTTCTTGAACTTAAGTCTGATTGTATATTAAATTCACGATGGCACAACCACTATTATTACTGTAAAAGCACAAATTATCCTATCTCCAAAATACGTTGATAAGTTCCAAAGTGCTTTGGTGTCCACAGTGGATACAGTATTTAAACTTATGCGAGAAGAAGCAGAGATAAATGGATCGGTAAATCCTGCAAAGTACTTTTATATGACAACATACAGTTCAATCTTGACCGCAGTATTTGGAAAAACTGTACAGTCGCTAGATGATCCCAATTTGAAAGATATCACTTTTTTTGTTGATCATTCAAACAAATATGTGACTCCTATTGGCGCACTTGGGTCTTATCTCCCACATTTTGAGTGGATATATCGCTTTACACAACACAAGGCCCAAATGAATGCTATAGTTGAAGTTCGAGACAAGCTTTTTACAAAGCTCCTTCATGAAGCTGTTTCTGGAGATATTGACTGTTTGGCCAAGAAACTTTTTATGTTGAAAGAAGAGTACAACTTGGATGAAATGGATTTGATTATATTAACAGGTAATGCTTGGTTTCTTCTTCTCTAAAACAAAGACAACATCCCCTCTTCCTCCGTAAAATTTAGCATCATCCTAATCAAATAATAATATATATATGTGTGTGTGAATGTAGGCGACCTGATTGGTGCAGGTGGTGAAACATCTGGAACATCGCTAACTTGGCTTCTTGCAATACTCTCGAACTACCCTGAAATGCAGAAAAAGATATCTGATGAGATAGATTCTGTAATTGAAAAGGAAGGAAGAATTCCTACTTTTTCTGATAGAGCTGACATGCCTTTCACAACCGCTGTTTTACGAGAAAACATTCGTTTTAGAAGCTGTACTAACTTTGGGCTCCCTCATTATCTTGAGGATGATGGTAAGTTAATTTTCTGAGTAAAAGATTGAGATATTTATTAACACCCTATATTATTTTAGTGGAAGTATTCGGTTATCTTATTCCAAAAGGAACAACATTAATGACTAGTATGCACGCCATACATATGAATCCAGATATCTATGATGAGCCTGAGAAATTTAAGCCAGAACGATTTCTAAATTTCACTAAAACTTGGTCTGCTGCGGCAAATGGCGGAATTAAAGAACGCGATATGTTTGCATTTGGATGGGGAAGGTCAGTTGTCACAAATGCAAATAAAACAAGATCCAATGAACTAAAATATATCGTATGCTTCCGTTTCTTCTTCCTATCATAATCATTAAACTAGGCGCGTATGCCCAGGGATTTACTTTGTAAGTACACACACAGATATATATGTAAGAATAATATAATCAATAACTAATTATTTGGTTTAAACTATAGGCCGAGATGGAAATATTCAATATGTGCGTGCGTATATTTTCTCAGTGCACAGTTGAGCCACCATATGGACTTAATGGAGAGTTGAAAAGTGTGGATATGGAAACGATATATTCTGGTGGAATTATCGCTGCTCCACTTGAGTATAAGATAAGATTTGTTACAAGAGCTAACAGTCTTGCAAATACTTTAAAGAAATCGAATTAATTTCAAAAAAAATCAGTATTAAACAAAAATCTTTTTAAAATATACTCCTTTTATTTGAACATTACTAGAGCAGCTTTACGGCTCAAAATTAGTACTTAGGAAAACTGGTGGTTTTCACCCATCATCCGAAATCTGGACCATATGTCTGCTCTCATTAAGTCAAGCAATTTGTGGGCATACATGAAGTAACAAATAATGGGAAATTCCTCATTTAAATCACAAGCTTTATAGTCTTTCGCTGTGCTCGTCTTTCAAACTATTCAAGATATTCATTATTTCTTATGCACTCTATATATAGTATGTGACATTAGAACTGAGTTAATTCCATATGTCAAATTAAAGAATAAACAGAAATAGGTATACATATAGTCAACGTAAGGTGGAAATTTACAAATTGTATGGTCTTATTTTCTTTCTTTCTGAATTTATCAATACTACCAACTCTCTGCTCTTTATTCATGGCATAAATGCCGGGGACAGGAGTTAACATTGTCCAGTGACAGATTGTACGATCTATTATTAAATGGTAGCAACAGTTAAAACAAATATCAAACTACTCATGAATCCACGTACCATGTATTTACATGAAATATACCTTGAGTTTTGAAAAAGTTTCAAAACAACCAAACTTAAAACAGTAATCGTTCTAATCACGATGAAAAGACAAAAACATTCCCTTCTAGTGATCGAAGCTTGTCTTACCCTTGGAATATTTACCATGTGATGATGAATCTTCGAATAATAAGATTTCCTTTCCCAAGCCACCCTCAAGTATTCTCCTATCAGTGTGATACTTTAAGCATCTATGAGTGATTCCTTGGCCTTGTAACTGGATAGTGATAGTATCTGGCTCAATTTTATCTGGGTAAAATAATACATTACAGCCATTTTGCTGAATAAACTTGTTGCAGTTTATTAATGCAGTATCAAAAGTTTGTAACCGTAGGCATCTTTCTGACAAGGACAACGTTTTTCTGGCATCTGCAAGTACTTCGCTACTATATTATTTGGTTAGTTTACGCACGTCCTTTTCCTTCTTTCTTTTTTGATTGAGAATGGGTAACATTGAAGGGATAAAACTTACGCCAATTCTTAGAAATAGCTTTTCAGTAGCAATTTTTGTGGTAGTATTCACTGGTTTTAGAGGGACTACGTCTCCTTATGGAGCACGACATTTCTTGGTGAGAGACAACATTTTGATTCTACCATATCAAAAATCGTGATCTTTTTACTGATATAGAGTAACTTTATCTGGTCTCTAAGGATACATTCTTATTATAATAATTAATAGAAGCTAGGATTCAAAATATTCAAAGATATTTTCATTTGTGCTTTGCAAATACTGTTCTTATGAACAAGACGACCAGACAAGGTGTGGTGATCCAGACACTTGGTTGTTGGATTTATTACATCTAAGAACATATTCCTATTATTATAGTAAAACAGCTATCATTACAAGAACAAATGAATAATTTATTTATTTTACTTATGGTAAATCAATAAGACCAATAATTAATTACAGTAAGTACTGTAATTATGACAGCTCAGTAAGCACTGAGTTAATATGAGGACACTGCAATTAGATTAAATTATAAACATAGCAGTACCAGCTCTCTAATATCTAAATGAACTCAGACTTAAGAAATTAAGATGTGACTGACAAAGCAGATCGTGTTTTGATATAAAAAGGACAACTTTGTATTCTTTAATAAAGACAACCTATATACAGTCTCAAAGTATTCTTATATATGTCTCAATCTTTTTACTGTTGATTTTATTCTATAAAACTTCACACAAGGTTTTGCGTCAGATACATAAATATCTGATGCCAGATACTTTTGGTGTAACAATATTTTTTTGGGAGGTCATATTTTAATTATATGTTAAAAGTTTCAAAAAATAAAATAAATACACTCTTTCTGAAAATTATTGGTGCAAAAATAAAAACAAATTTGATGCAAAAATAAAAATAAATTTGGTGCACAAACAAAAATAAATTTGGTGCGAAAATAAAAAATTATTTAGTGCAAAAACAAAGATAAAATTTGGTGCAATTTTTTTTTACCATTTCTCTGCTTAATTCATCTTTTTTGGTGCATTTGGTGTATTCCATTTTTGCACCAAATAATTTTGTATCTTTGCACCAAATTTATTTTTGTTTGTGCACCAAATTGATTTTTATTGTGTGTCGTGCCTAACACAATTGTTGTTGACTCCACTCCAACGTCAGATGTGGTTATAGGCTCTCCAAGCCACGCTTTATTTTTTAGAATATTTATAAATGATTAATTATAGTGTATACCCCTTTTCCTCATATCTTTCCAAGCCGCGCATCGTGGATATGAACGCAAATGATATCACCAATGAACAAATCCATGAATTTCTCAAACGCACCCGTGCTCTCAACATCACAGGCCGTGCAAGAGACTGCACTGCTAGATATGAATTGCCTGAAGAAATCCTACACGACATGGAAGAGTCTTCCAAAAGTGCTCTTAGGAACAATCTCCAGAAGTTCCAAAAAGACACCCTGCAGTATGACGGAGGCGACTGGACAAAATCAGGCGCACTCAACAGGATATTTCAAAACGAAGTCAAAAGGTTCCAAATGGACGCTCTTACCATCATGATACCAGCCATAGGGGAAGCACTGCTACATGTTCAATATGTACAAAGAGATCTGGCAAAACATCTAGGAGGAAAGGCGCAACGATGGGAGCTACCTTGTCCACTCTCATCAGAGGCAATGCTAGACCTTGCATGGTGGACGACCACAGCAAAAACCACAACCGGGTTACCAATTCAGAAATCACCACCATGTCCGCCAGCAGTTACAATCTATGTAGACGCCTCCAATACGGGGTGGGGAGTGTTGTGGTGGTTGAAGTCGAAGAAGTTTTTAAGAGGAAGAATTGAAGATTTGAGATGAGGAACAAAGATTTGTGAGAACTTGTATAGGGTTTGTTTATTGAGAAAGATTTGGTATCAAAGTTTGATGAGGTTTCTGCACTGAACTACTACTGCTCACTGTAGAAAATGGCAGCATTTGTAATTCCGCCAATGCAGACTACTATGTAAAAAATGCATACTTGCAGATTTGCTCTAAACCAATAGGAATTTAGTATTTAGCTAATAGTGTTACCTATCTCAGCAAATAAGAAGCGTATATTCTTATGATTTAAACCCTATTTTAACCAATAGCTTTAGAGAATATCCTTTTTGTATTACAATGGTTTTTTATACTTTTGGGGATCAATGCCCTTATTAGGAAGTTACAGATACTCAAATTCATAAAAAAAATAATTAAAAAATAGAATTCTGCTGAAATTATAGTTGAAAATTTTTATTTATTTTTATTTTTCCAAGTTGAAAATATTGGGAATAAAGAGCCTAATACGCGTCTAAGTACTTAAATGACTTATAGAAACATTGCTAGCTAATTGAAAGGCACTATATAGAATAGGCAGAGAAATGGTAGCAGTAACTGATATAATTTTAATCTATACATAAAGAAAAAGAAGAAAGAAAAAGGAAAAGAGAAAAAAGAACTTTAGTATTTGTGATTTAATTTAATTTACTTTAAATGACATACCTTTGATATTGAATAAACATGAAGAAATGCAAAGCCTTGTATTTTATGTTTTTTATACTAATAATTCTTTTATTTTGAGTATGCATACCTTTGATAGTCTAGATGATGCGAGCCTACTTATAATCAAAATGAAGTTTCATTAGTAATTAGTAATTAAAATCTTTTAACATTAATAATATCTTTTCACTGATGTTTACATCTATGTAGCAGTACTGGCCTGTAACAATGGTATTTAGTATGCAGCAAAGTCAGAAAGTATCATTACCTTTATGAAGATTAAAAAAATAAACAAAAAGTTAGTGTAGAGTTAAAAAGCACAATGTTTATTTTTGTAAAAAAATCTAAGCCCCAATACAATAGTTGAATTTCGCAATTGTAATCATGAATTTTTGCTAAGTCATTTTTCACCTTTGAGAATCCCTCTGTGATTTGGTTTAGGGGTGCTTGTACCTCAGAGTGTGCCTTATAAAGATATCTTATTTTTGAAAAAAGGACAGAGATGATATTCCGCACTCAATGGTTTTAGCAAGCCAATAATATAACTTATACGTTTTTCATTTTCTAATATATTATCTTGAATATTCTGTGATCAAGCTTTCATTTTAACATCCGTCTCAATGTGTCTAAATAGGTTTAGCAAGTCCTAAATTAGATATAGTCAATATAATTTTTACAAAGTTACACAATTTTTGCAAATGTGCAATTTTTTTTGCAAGTACTTGCAGATTTTTTTCTACAGTGGCTATTTATATTATTTTGGATCGGGAAAATTATATGACTGGGGTCAGGTAATCGATCCTATCTGAGCCTTAATCAGAGCAACGTGATCTTGGGATAATTAATGTCACTACGACAAATAGGGGCAGTTTTTTGTATTTGTGACTTTGTTTTTGGCCTATAATAATTAAAAAATCACCAAAAATCCAATTTGAAACTAGAAAATCTCTGTTTTTTGAAAAGGTTGACAAAAAGCAGATTGACCACTTAAAATTAAATCTCCTGATAGACAAAAGTACGTTTTAACTACAGATTTTACATTTTTAGTAAATGTAGATTGCAATTGATAACTATTAAAAGTTAGAGGTAAAAGAGAGAAAAATATCTAAACTTTTTGCTGGGAGGATAAAATATGTTAAGACAATTTGAAAAAAAATAATGTATTACAAGAAAAAAAAAATTATAGGTCTGCAAGAGAACCAAGTGACAATTTTGGGCCGCGGTTAAGCTCTGGCCACACTATGTATGTTGTTGTTGTTGTTGTTGTTGTTGTTGTATTTATAGTCGCGTCCGACTTCACCAAACCAACCAATTCTTTGACATCTGCCAGGTAAACTACCTTTGGCTTCATTTGCCCATTGTTAACAACTGGTATACCATTTATCAAACGAACTGCATAAACATTGACAAGGACAAGCAGTCATCTCTTGTTATTGAGCTTGTGCTCAAAGAAAACAACGACCTTCCCAAAGAAATCCTTATAGATTGGAGAGTAGCTCTGCCCAATGTTGCGGTTCTCATCAACCTGAACCTGAAGTCTGACATTATGTGCCTCTCTTACACAATTATGGTCGAGTGCAGAGTCAATAACATAACCATTTACAAATGCCTTATGGCTTGTTTTAATGGCTGCTTCAATCATACTACACTCTTCCTCCTTTGATTCGTAGAACTTTTGAAGAAGCTCTGGAAGACAAGAAATGCCTCCAAAACTATCAACAATCATTCTGTTCCTCAAAGGCCCCCAGAACTCAATGTCAGAATTAGTACCAACATTACTATCTTCTTGGTCAATTGGCCAACCAGCAGAGGGATCGTCATACTGAAGGAGAGTTGTTGCTGTTACTGTTGCTGTTGTTGTTATTGAATTTTTAACTCTCATCTGTCGAATCTGTGTCAAGCCAAGCATGATGTTGCCAGCGTTGATTCCAATTTCTGAATTACTCTTTATTGCTCGCAAGTATTCCCCAATCGCCCTCTCCACAGATCGTGCACTATACACTCTGGGGGGACTATATGCTTCTATCATTGTGGGATAGTGCTGCAGGAGGTGCTGGTTGATCGTAAAGACCTTGAGCTGGACCTCTCCTTTAGCTAGCGAGGCTTCCAGATACGCATTTCATGTGATGAGATTTCTAAAAAAAAAGATAAGTTAACACAAGTTATAAAATAATAATATTAATTATAATTAAAGATTACATTTGGATCAAGGTTTTCTTCTCTGCTGATAACTCCCAGCTCATGAGTAGGTTGCATGTCTGCACCAGATCAAGCAATGCCTTATGAGCAGCTTGGTCATGGACACACTATGCCACAAGCATGGGGATAACAAATAAGATGAAGTCAACCCAGTCTACAGCCTGGAAGTACTCTGATCTTGTTGCAATGTTGATCCATGCACCATGGAAAGATGTTGGAATACTTCTTCTGGTTGACACCATGGCAGTACCAATTTCTTTCTGAGCAGCAAGGGAGAGAGAGAGAGGATGATCTTTTCCATACTTGCCACACATGAGCCCCCAGACTTGTTTGCCAATGCCATGGCAAATGCCGTGCATTTCATCCAATGCAAAGAAGAATGGAGCAGAGAAGGAATCCAGTAAGGAGAAGGGAGATTGGCCAGTTAACCCTTTTTTGCTAGATGAGGCCACCTCATCAAAGTGCTTGAAACTTTCTGGTGTGTGCATGGTAATGGCAGATGGAATTCGGAAATATTGGCCATGGCCAGAAGATTGACCCACAATGTGGCGAATGTGATAGCCATCCTTACTCATATGGTCTATATTACAAGCCATCTTTCCCAGAGCTGGGATGTCACCAGCTGTCATTAGTACATGAACTTTTGCACTAATATCTCCAGATGGTGTCTTCACAACCATTCCACTGGCTTGGAGAACCCGAAGTTCTTTCAGAACAGGCTCTAGAAATGACCAGAAGTCGGTGGGTGCTTTGGGACCAGAGATGATCACAACTTGGATCATATGGCTGCACCCATAGTGGATCATTGGGGGAAGATTGAGGTTGGTAACGTGGACAATGGTTACCAAACCCGGAACACTATGGGAAGCAAAGCTATCAACAGACAGCAAAATGGCAATGTCGTTTTCACCTGAGAAAAGATGTTTCTTCAACTGGTATGTCTGTCCATCAAAGACATCAGAAATGCTGCCATCAGCCTTCTGCGTATGATGGTGACAATACAGCATCTCTTTTCTGGTGCGGTCGTTGGCCAAAGCAGCTGCAAGCTGTCTACCTAGAGGAAGATGTATCATTGTGCTGGCAGGAATTGGATTCTTACCAGCATCTTGGCTTCTCTTGCTGGTCTTGTAACAGGCTTCATCACAATATGGACACTCTGTTTGCTGATTGTCATTATACAACATGCACTCATTGTGACAGACGTGGTATGTATCCTCTTTGACACCAAGAAAGCGGGAAAGAAGCTTGGTACCAAGATAAGGAGAGCAAGCTCTGTACGAAATCTCGTTTGACGTGCTGAGAATATCATTAAAGTGTTTTGCCAGACTAATGTGGGCCTTCTGGGAAATGCCAAACTCCTTGATGATCTTCATAAGCTCGAGATTCTTTGCATCATTGTAGCCAGGAACAGAAACAGAAGCACTAAAGTCATAGACCAACTGAGAAGGAATATTGTCAATAGAATTTTCAGTAACATCCATGATTGCCAAATCATTTTCCATAGAATCCTCATGTTCAATATCATACTTTAATAAAATAAACAATAATTAGTACATTGGATGCATTTGTATATTTATCTTTCTTATCATGAGCTCATCAATTTTGTTGATGATGGAAGAAGTAATATTCTTATTGATGCTCATGTTAGTGCTTTCTCTGTTTAATTATTAAATAATTAATATATTTTATTTAGTTGCATCATTATAATTTGTAGACTTACTCCAAGGTTGAGCTAGATGCAAAATTCAAGATAAGATTACTTTGCTCAGAAACAGAAGCAACTTGCGAACTTTGGGTATTATTCATCTCTTTATAAACTTTTTCCAGGCACTGAACTTCACACTTGGCTACAAGTTTTTTGTTTGTGTAGTGTTTGTGGCAGATACTGCACTCGTGGTAGGAAAGCTTTGTGATTATAGAAATTTTATTAATTGGAATTTATTCTTTTGAAGTATGAGTAAGAATAGAGATATTTGCTTTCAAGTCTGAACTCTTTTATAATGATTAACTTGAAGACAATAATGGTGCAGTAACTTGAATATAAGCTCAGAAGAAAAAAGTAAAACATATATATATCATGTTGTCATGTAAGCACGGTAAGCAAAATTGATATTCACTGAAACCAACGCAATAGATTTAATCTATATTGCTATGAAACTAATAATAGATAATCGAATTTTTTTTCCTTATATCTTATTTTCACAACAACATCTTTTTTCTCAGGTAAACAATATTCGCAATATGAATAACACAGATAACATCATTGAATCTTTACTTCTAGCCATTCAGCTTCAGTTATCTGTCTTATGTGCTAACCAAGAACAAATGAAGATGGATATTAACAGCCTTGGAAATGAAATAATAATCAAATGATCTCCAAAGCAAAATCTCTCTTTGTTTATTAATGTAAGTTCAACTCAAAACAGTATTGCTGAAAACTAACTTTAACTTCAATAGACTTCAAGTAGGTTTATTTTCAAACCTGTGATCAACATTTGTAATGTCACTTTAGAACATGTTTACCAAATGATGAGTCAACATCTTGGAATCAAGGTTACAGCATCCAAAAAAGCAACACTCAGGACCTGTACGAAACTTGTATGTAACGAGTTAGCCACCCTTCCTTCTGTACAAGCTTTTGGCCCTCGTCCTAGTTGGGGGTCCATATCTTAATGTGATCAAACAATGATTTGCAATAAACATGCAAACATGCTTAAGAGGGTTGGTGTAAATTTCGCCAGATGCCATCAAAATTGGGCATCCATTGCAAGAGTCAGTTATCTCTGGAAAGATCATCAAAGGAGACAATTGTAAGTAACTATCTGCTGCAGCGTAAAGTAGCATATTTAATGTTAAAAATATATGATGTATTTGACTGTCTATGACTAATAAAAATGATGTATAAAATGTAATGTCTATCATAACAGCCAATAAAAGTGATATATAAAATGTAATTCTGTAATAATAACCAATAAAAACAATAAATAAAAAATATATCCATTTGAGAAACCAATAAAAATGTATTTTTATAAAATACACTACAGTGCAATTATGTCTTATCCAATAAAAACAATGATTAAGCAAGAGATATTTAAAAGAATCCAAATTAAAAGAATAAGGAATTAGTAGTAACCAATGACATATAATAGATAACTTGGTCCTTAAGCCAAAAGTCGCGGTTTTAATATAAGTGCTCATTAAAACCCAGTCGATCTTATATTCTTCAAAAGTATCTGCTTTATAAAGGCCACAATAATGATAGAGTATATATGCATTGCAGGATTTTTTATATGAACTTTGTTCTGATACTCTTTTAATTGTTCAAAAAGTCTTATAAAGCTTTTATCAAATGTCTTTAGAACTCTACCTTTGCATAGTAGTTTGTAACAGACATTGAGAGCTTCAAGAACAAGCTGAAAATTATGCCTCAACTGAGATGTGAAAAAGGAACCATAACATAGCATATAACAGACTTGAGTTATACTTACTCAACGAAGCTTAATCTATTGAACTTTTCAGATTTTCTATGTCAGAGATTAAAAGTATTACCATGGTACTTGGCCTGGAATCAACCTGTCATATTTCAAAAATAAGAGTCAACAACATCTTTGGCTATGCCATGTTGATATATTAATACAGTTCTTCTGAACGTCTTTTTGGCATGTCTCTTATTTTTGGAATGGACCCAACGAATATATCAGCTGTTTTGAGAGGAATAGAAGACATAATATATGAGAAAATAAGATGGAGAATTCAGTTCAATACGCATCTTTTTCTGGTGCTTTTTTGGATATTTGTATCTCCCTTTAGTGGAATATTTTGAATAAAAAAGAGCTTATAATATAGAGATTTAGCATTACTGCATATCTTCTGTCTTCTTTATAATAATAATAATAAAAATAATGGATCCTTTTGACAGATAATCATATATCTGAAAATGTAATTATTTTCAGTTAATTTCAGCCAAAGATTGACTTTAGACCCTACCTCAAAAGGAAGTGTTTCAGATTTATGTTGCACAAAACACTTGATATAGTCATAATTTAAATCCCGTGTCCGAAGATGAAAATTTGTAGCCGAAGATCAATCTTAGGACTAAGAACCAAGTTATCTAATATTTCAACTATACTTAAAGAAGTTTTGTCTAATTGAAAGACAAATATTAGCAAAAGAAAAGGTTATCAATATATTAATAGAATCTTAAAACTACTGATAAGCACAGATATATTAAAATGCATATGAACTCAGAGTTAGAAAAAAAGGGGAAGGACACAAAACGCGCCCTGGCTTCCCCTCCGGAACCACCTGTGAAACCACCTATAAAACTCCTATTTTTTGGCGTAGTGAATAAAAAGTGTCCCTTTTTATAAGCAAACACAATCTGCTCTTGTCATTACGTCTTAGTTTCTTAAGGCTTTCTTCCTTTACTATATTTGGTTATTAGAGTGTATTTACTGCTTAACTAGTGTTGGTGTTACAATTATGACATCAAGTCATAAATTGTACTTCTTTAGCTCTTAGCTATTCTTTTCTCTTTTACACTAGAGCTTTAGAACTTCCTACTAATTTAGCTCCATATCACTCTGACACAGTTTACTCAGCAGTATGATATAATTATCTTAGCAATCTTTAAGATATTATCTACAGTACTAACTGTAATAATTATTGACCTGATTACTTAATTGTTTATATATATTTTATACTGACAAGATGATATCACTGGAAAAACACCCCTGAATACACTAGTGCCAAAATAATTCAGTGATAGTGTATATGTAGAGTATATTCCATCTCAGCACCGCTTTTTGTGTTCAAATAAAAAAACTTGCTTTTACTATATTCTATTGGCTCGGATATAACAAGCAACAAAAGTTATTTTATTTATTACTATAAAGTCTTTGTGAATAGATAAATGTAACACCTGTTTCCCTTTTATTTCATTTTTAAAAAAACACAAACGTCATGTCTTCTACTATCAAACAAAACTTTGAAGAGTGCTATTGTACCAAGTGCATTAAAAATTATAATGGATACACCTTAGTGTCAAAGAGAACTGCCCAGCGTCATGGCAAGAAAGCAGCTTTAAAAGATGCTATCAGAAGTGAACTTGGTATGTCATTTATAATATAAAATTTGCATTTTTATATACTAATAGCTTTTATATTAAACACAGGTGCGTAGAGACATATAATAAATATTGATGCGGAGTATAAGACATTTTTATTTGGGTATCTAAAAAAACAACTTTCTTATTATATTCCATATTTGTAGCTATTGTAGTCCAAGAATCTGGATCCGTAGAAGTTCTTGCATGTCAGTCTGACTTTCCCATTTTGGATATCTCCCCTATATCAGTTGACTATGAGGTCGATGTTGATTTCAATGACATGGACTTTTAGTATGAGAGCAATGATAATGCTGAAGATACTGTTGATATTGATTTTGAAGAAGTTGACACTGAATGTTCATATGAAAGTCAAAAAAAATCTAAAAAAAAGTCAAAAAAATTAATATTTTCTTATATTTTTAAATAGACATGTTTTCAAACAGCAGTATGCCTGAGAATCCTGTACACAGATTCATCGCAACATTCACTGTGCTATTTGCATCCTGCTATGTGGTCAACAAGGGTGCAGTTGTCTTGATTGAGTTCATCAACGAGCTCTTAAAGATTTACGAGCAGGACTTCCAGCTTCCCACGAGTCTGCCTGGTCTTCAGTGTATGACGGGATTCTGTGAGCTCTCCAAGGGGATAAGACGATTTGTGGCCTGCAAAGATTGCCATGCAACTTACAAAAAAATCAATCTGTTCCTCCTCACTGTGTCTTTGTAAAGACAGGTGCTTGTGCAGCTTGTAACTGTGAATTGATAAAGAAATCTTCGTCTGGTGCTTTGGTTCCCAAGCATAGTTTCCATTACCAGTCTATCAAAAATGCATTCAAGATTCTTTTTAATTGTCTAGGCTTCGAAGAAAAGATACATCAATGGAATACAGAGCCAAAATTAGTGGACACAATGTGCGATGTATACAATGTTGCAGTTTGGAAAGAACTCAAAGATAGTAATGGTGCTTCGTTTGTTGAGCAGCCTTGTTTGCTGATGCTGACGCTCAATATTGACTGGTTCTAGCCATTCAATAAAGTTACATACTCTTGTGGTACAATCTACTTGGCCATTAATAACTTGCCTCAAAGTGACCAGTTTAAAGCCGAGAACATAATCCTCATAGAACATATGCCTGGTCCCAAGGAGTCTAAAACTGATGAGATAAATAATTATCTTGAGCCAATGGTAGATGAGTTAATACAGCTGTATTGTGGGATAAGAATCCCAACATTCAAGTCTCCTGCTGGCGAAGTGATTCGTGCTGCATTGATGATGGTTGCCTGCAACATCCCAGCTGCCAGAAAGACCAGCAGATTTACTGTGCATAATAGCACTTGAGCATGCTTTAAGTGCAACCGTCATTTCACTTGCCTTGACAGCACAAACAAGGTTGATTTCTGTGGATTGAAAGAGTCTGAGTGGTGTCATCGCAACTGTGAGAAGAATAGGCTGCATGCTGAGGAGTGGAAGAACGCAGTTACCATCTCAGAAAGGCAGCATCTAGAAATCAAAAATGATGTTCGATGGTCGCAGTTGCACCGCCTTGGATACTTTGATCTAGTATGTGGAACAATCATTGATCTCATGCACAACCTATTCTTGAGGACAGCAAAAAGAATGATGGATCAGTGGATTGAACGTGGTGTTCTTGGAGACAGAGATTTCAACACCATGCAAAAGATAACTGATAAGATGATTGTATCAAGAGGATATACTGCATTGAAAAGCAAAATTGGCAAAAAATTTGTATTTATGAAAGTGGACAAGTGGAAGTTGTAGGTATTGGTATATTCTCCTATGGTGTTGAAGTCGGTGCTCTCATCCTTGCATTTCAATAACTGGGTTGATTTTGTCCATGCATGCCATCACCTTGTAAAGCCCAGCATTACTTTTGATGATATTAATACTGCCCATAGACATCTCGAAAAATTTTGTGAAAATGCAATGAAATTTACACCACCACAATCCTTACCTGTAATATGCACTTACACCTCCATATTCAAGAAACTATTCTCGATTTTGGACCAGTATATAGTTATTGGCTCTTTGCATTTGAGAGATACAATGGCCTACTCAAGAATATCAGCACAAATGGCAAGGACGGTTTTGAAGCCACATTTATGAGATGCTTTATTGAAGATATATACAAAAGTGATTTTGTTAATTCTGCTCTCACATGTTCCACTCAAGCTCCCTTTCTTTCTGTTCTTTCCAAACTTGTCTGTTCATCCACACCTGTTCTTATCTTGCCATCTGTCTCCTCCACAATTGTTCAGCCACCGTTCGTTTTGCAAGCTTTTGTGGATTCTTCTGAAACTACCAGAATTCCTATCTTAGGCAACAAACCTCTCTCACCTACATCCTTCCCACTTTCAGTTAGTAAACCTTCTTCAATGGGTGATATTGATTATCCCCATTTGTTGGAATACTACAAACTCGCGTACCTCACTCCTGATTTCGTCCATTATCAAAATGCTGCTGCCTCTTCATTCTTTGTTGACAATCAGATTATAAAGTTAAAATCAATCAATATTCTTGGCCAAGTGTACTATGGCAATAATGGCACCACTGGTCGTGGATCATATGTCCAATCATTGTTTCTTGGCAGTAATAGAAGTACAAAAACAACCTTCACTTGTCAAATCAAGTATATCTTCATTCATTCATTTACTCCTCCTCCAATGTTGCCCTACTATGAAGCCGATTCCACTCATTATTATCAACATGTATTTGCATTTGTCAACTGGCTTCCATTACTTGGAGATAAATCATGAGAGAAAGATGGAGTTGATATTTGTGGCTTAACACCTTCGCCATCAAACTATCATTCAATTTTGTCTGTATATAGAAGCTCTTTAGAAGTAGCAATTGCTAATCATACAACAGGACTTGTCAAAAAAAACTGGTAATTGCCTTACCAAAAAAGCTTTATGCTTAAAAAAAACAGTAATAAATATCCTTTCTTTCTTTTCTTTCTTTTTTTAAAAAGAAAAAGTAAAGTAAATGACAATAACAAAAAAGGGCAGAGAAAAATAATTACTATCTCTATATAAATTGTCAGCATTGAGTTTGTGAAGATGAGAATAAATAAGATGAGATAAACAATGATTTTTATTATTTTTATTGTGGCCCATCTCTAAGGGTCCATGGAGGGAAACATAACGCGATGTCATTGGGAACTGGTTTCTCAGACAGGCTGGTGAGATTTCTGTCTAACAACTGGCAAATGTTGTTACCCAAGTTTTCTTTCACAATCTCATCAATGTTGAAGATGAGGTTGTTAAACTAAAAACATATTTATATATAATATGTTAAATATTATTCAAATATAGAAAATTATTTCTTGCAAAATTATTTACATCATCACTTCTCCAAAAAGGACGGGTAACCTTTACAATGCACTTGCAAGGTCTCCCAGGAAACTCATCCTCTGACTCGCCTTCAGACATTGCTGATCTGATCATCATCCCAGAACAGTTTCTCTTCATTAAAGCATCAATGACATCCTTGTTTAACACATATGCCATTACACGGCGGTTGAAGTGCTGTAATTTTATATATATATTAATATTAATTCTATGATTAAATTTGGGATGAAATATAAAGCAACACTCACTTCAGTTTCTCTTGCAGCTCGTCTTCCACGAGCGTTAGTGGCAGCTTGCACCATAGTACGGAATTCGCTTGTTTTTATACCCTGCCTAACAAACTTTGGGAGCAGGTAACCAAGAAGATTGGCAACAATCTCCTTGTTAGGGCTTCTATTAAAGAAGACATCCGTTTCCCACCTTGGCTTTGTCTCGTTGGCACTGACAAGGGTAGAATCATTGGAAGTAAATTTGTCCCTCCGCATATACCCTCAAATCAACTTCTATTTAACAAAAATGGTTAATGGTTAGAATATTGGATATAATAATACTTACAAAGACTTTGCCCTTGTTTTCACAGCTGATTTCAGGAGCAATACCAGCAGGAATTCTGACAATGGAGCTGGCAGCAACAGAAAGATTATCAAGAGAAACAGAAGCAGATGTCTGGGATCCATTTCCTTGTCCAAAACCAGCACAAATGGCTTTATGCATTGTGGTGAGTTCACCATGTACATCGACCATGGATTTCTCCATTTCTTTTATCTTGGCTAAAAGATTTTTGTATTCATCAGATGAATTAGGAGCAATTTGGCATATTCCAGTCATGATCTATAATATTAAATAAAGTATATTTTTCAGTTATTTAATTTTTAACTTTTAATTCACAATGTTTGATTTCAAATTAATGATTTATTTCTTACGTACAAGCAAGTATGTATGTGAGCAAGTGAAGAAGTGTAAGAGAGAGAGAGAGTGTGTGTGTAAGCAAGAAGTGTTATGATATTTCAAACAACTTCTTTATATAAGTATACTAAATGGAACTGTAAATATATCAAAAATATCCTCTTGTAACTTTGGGATGACAATCCGTCATTATATTATCTTTTTGGACTCAATTAGTTTTTTTTCTTTTTTGTTTCAAAAACACACACTTCTTTTCTTTTCTTTTTTTATCTTGTCCTTCCTATTTCCCGTTTTGTCCTTTTGTCTTTTTTATTCTTTTTTTTTCTGATTTCGGTTTTGTTTCATTTTTTCTTGAATTCATTTTTTCTCTCTCTCTTTCCAACTTTTATTATATTCACGCGTTTTTCTGGTAAGACATATTTTCTTGGCAAAATAAAATACTTCCTTATAAACAATAAAATAATTAATTCATTTCACTGCAATAGGCAAGCACACACTTACTCTGCCTCTCTTACACTTTTATATCCCTCTGTTTTTCTTTGGTAAGACGATCTCTTTAAAATACTATATATATACATACAACTAAAAAATAATAATTGTTTATATTGTCATAGACACTTGCGTTTTAACTTCTTCTGATGCATCCTCTTTACAATGGCTATCCAGATTAGCCAAGGTTAGTAAATATACTTTATGCTATCATCCTATAAAATTATTCTACTTTTTTTCTTTCTTATAGGCCATATTGCCAAAAATACTCTCTGCAATTAAACACAGTTATGAAAATGATAATATTTTATTTTACTTTACTTTATTTTTATTTACTTTTTATAGTTATCTAAAAAAATATGACTTTTATTATAGATGAACAACCCTCTCTCAAACATATCATGCATCAAGAACTATCATCCCATGTTACCATCATTGACATAGTAAGTCTTCTTTTTCTTTTATTCTTTTTATATGTACTACAATATTATTTATACTGTATATTAATATAATACAATATTCTACTAGAGACTATATCACCTCTTGACAAGTACTATCGATGTTTACATATAAATCGTTTTGCTTTGGGTATGTAAATTAATTATTCTATTGCCAAATTTATCTGAATTAATTTCCTCTGATCCTTTTTATAATCAAAGAAAATCGGAACAAACGCCATGTTTAACATTCCCAGTGTCTTTTTGCTCAACCCATTTGTTTCTAGTATTTTCAATGTAAGTATATATTAAGTATATATTGATTTGCAAAAATTACTGAAAAGTATACTATCAAAACTATATAATTAATATATTGCCCATATTTTTTCAAAGGCTGTTGCATCCTAGCAAAAAAAGCCCATTATTTTCATTTTTTAGTGCTTTTTTCTATGCAGCAATCCTCAAAATAAAACAGTATCAAGGAGCCTGCGGAAGAAGTAGCCAAAATATATAATACTATCACAAGACCATCAACCTAGAATTATTCTATTATTCTTTTTCAATAAACTTTAAATGAGACCAAAACAACTCAATAATTATGGGATATCAAATTTACGAGAGTATGTTACAGGCTGAGAGCAATAAAGAGGCTTTTGTGGTTGGATATATTTGAACAAAAAGTAGTGTATAGGTACCTATACTCTAGTGTCAAAGATATGTGCAACTATAGTAAGGGGAACCCCATCAGATCCAGGATCAGCTCGCACTTTAAAGTATTTTAATAAAACTATAAGTTTTACACAAACGTCTATAGTGAACATACGTAATTACCATATGGAGAATACAAATTGGTCACAACTGCGGCATCTTGCTTTGACATCACACTAGTGTTCAGCTCATCACGAACCTAGTGTCTAAGATACTCTGCCCATAGTTTACAGGTCACCCAAATCCATGCATATTTTTAAACTAAACACATTGGTATATCCATTCCTACACATGTGTATGTGAACCCATTTTTCCAGTGATAGTTTACATAAAAAAAATATATATTAAATAAAGTGACAGCTACTTAGAGTCATAATTAATAGTTTAATACTAATAAATTTACTTCTTACTATAATTATGATATAAGATTATAAGGTAAAGAAGCAGAAATAGTATCAACTTATTATACAAAAATGGTAACTAAAATTGAGTATTTGTAAGATATAAGATTTATTTGGCTCTCATTAACAAATCACATATTTGTGGCTGCTAATGAGTCATATTTTTATGATTTAACTTGAGACATAAATCATATGTTTTCATTTTATATGATTTAAGTGGAAAAGATTATAATCCATATAATTTTCATTTGTTTTCAAAAACTTTCATAATAGATATAAAAATAATGAAGCCTTTTATGCCTAAGAAAGTTTGCATAGAAGTTAAGCTAACATATCTTTACCAAATCCATGTTTTTATTTTTTATTTTTTATTTTTATTTCTTCTGTGAAAACTCTTTCTATCATTTTCTTACAACATGTACATGAGATATTTTATCAAAAATACAAAAAAATAAAAAATATTTATAAAAGACCAAAAAAAAGTTTTTAGTTCTATATATTCAGATAACATTTACATCCAATAAAAGTTTTATAGAAAGCAAATGAAAAAAAAGTCATTCTACAAGCAAATATAATATTTTATTTTATTGAAAAAATATAAATTTGGAGATATTATGTTAGTTTTCTTATGATCTAGATTTTCAATTCAACTAAAACTTCTAACATACATATATTTATACAGTATTTGAATCCAAAGTTATAGAAAGTCAACATTTGAATTGGTGAAATAGATAGATGCAAATATATAATATAACAAATCTGAAGGTAATTTGGCTCTATCTGTATAATACCACCTAGCTTTTATGCTTTTTAATTTGCTATATATATGTGTAACTTGTAGGGTAACGTACTTCCCATAAATAATTTCTATGAAAAAACAGAGCGGAGAGCCATTTAATCCACAAGTTATAGATAGCTTATGTTGACGCAAAGAAACAGATTGATAAGAGTTATAAAGATAAAAAAAATTATATATCTAATAAAATATAAGAGTAAATGAGTATATAAATAATAAGTTGTCTAGCTAATGAAGTATAAAGAAAAATATAATAAAAATAAAAGAAAAAAAGAAGAAAAAAAGATTATGTTATAGTGAGATCAACATGTTCCTCTTGATCGGAAAAAAAAAGAACATTGCATTTCTATGATCATACTTATTGAACTCTTTAAACTTGTTCCAGTAAGTATCAAAGTTGTCGGGAATCTGGTTTCTGACACAACCCAAAAAGAATAACTCAGGAATGGTTAGCCATTTCCTTGAGACATTGTGGGAGAGGTGTACTGTTGTCCAGTGGTTATTGTTAACATGATTGAAAATCAGAGGTTGTTGATGTTTTGATATGTTTTCGGGAAGGGTAAAGGGAAGGAACGATACGGAAGGGGTGTTGGGGTTGTCTGAGTAGACGCAGACTGGTCGCTTATAGGTGTCCGCAGCTAGTTGAGCACAGTCAGATGTGCTAAACCACATACTGGCATCTAAACACGCTGGGATGAAGTTGGTGTTGGTGTTGGAGTTGGAGTCAGAGTTGGAGTTGGTGATGCAGAGATCAGAACCATGCTTTATAATGGCTTCTAATTGCTTGACATCAGTTCCAAACGTGCTGGCGTAAATGCTGCTGTATTTTGGAAGGGTAGCAAGCATATCTCTTTTTACAAGAGGGAATTTTTCTTGATCTTTATAGATCAAATAGGCAAGGACCCGAAAACCACACCATCCATCAGCAGTAAGGTTAAACCCACCCTTAACGTCATTGACTATCTCATAAGAGACAGGAAAACCGGGCTGGAATTTAACTCTCTTGCCAACAGAGGTGCGATAGTCATATTGGTAATCTTCTTGAGCTGTAGTGGGTCTTTTAAACCCTATTTCTCTTTATGGATTCAATTACACTGAAAAATGAGAAAGAATATTACCTGGGTCGAGAGGCTCTTGTTTTATTTTTTTTGTTTTGTTTTTGGTGGCATCGACTAAAAAGCATATTAGTATAAGGTTAGATTCCTTTTCATGAATTCAATTACACTCTAAAATAAAAGCACATATTACCTGGGTCGAGAGGCTCTTTTTTAATTTGTTTTATTTTGTTTTTGGTAGCATCAACTAAAAAATGTATGTAAATATATGACAAGATTCTTTTTCATAAACTCAATTATATATAAAATAAAAAAGCATCTTACTTAGGTCGAGAGGCTCTTTTTTGCTTTTGTTTTGTTTTTTGTTGTTTTTTGTTTTTTGTGTAGCTGCAGACTTTCTATCTCTTGCTCTAGCTCTTAACCTAACCATTGCCTTAAGGCCGGCCTAGTATTTCAAGATACATATTAGTACTTTGTTATGTTATATTTTTTTTATCTTACATGACCAGACGAAACACTGATCTTCCTCCAGTTTGCCTGACCAAAGTCTTTGAGAAGGTATTTGGGACGTGCACCACCCTTTCTTCTGCCAGAATATTTAATTTTTTCTGGGACTTGAAAGTTAATCGAAGGGTGTCCAGTTTTGCCTTCGAATTCAGAAGCAACCTTCTTGATCTTTTGAAGGAGGTTGGCCACTTGCTGGCTGCCCTCACAAGAGCGGAAAAGAGCCTCAAGCTTTACAATCTCTTGCATCCACTCTTCTGGCCTCTTGGCAATTACGTGTGCTGTACAACTTTCTTCGAAAGATGTCTCTTTTAGAACATGGTTTATGACTCATCTTTCAGGAACATCATCAAGGGTGAGCTCCCTTCCAGCTGGCAGCAAGTGTCTGCAGGGCAAGCCGAACTCAAACCTGTTTTTGCAATGACAAAATTCATTGTCTCTATTGATCAAGCAAAGTTCTTGATCAATAACAAGCAATGCTCTCTTAGAGACTTTCATAAAAAGCCTGGAAAGCTGCTTGTTGCGGCCAACCAAGACATCAACAGTTGTCGATTCCCTGATTGTTATAGCATTGAAGTCTCTTTCGAGCCTGTCTACATAGGAGTTGACAGCTTCAAATGCAAGCCCCAAAGACGAAATTGCTGATATCCCTCTTTTCAAAGCTTGGTGTGCACTCTTGACTCTCTGGGTAGTTGTACACCCAAAATGCATTTACTGGCTGGTCAGGTATCCTGCCCACTTCTCCTGGCACTTTATCCATCTTTTGGCAAAGTAAACCAATGCATCTACCTTGGACCCTCCTTCGTCTACTTCGCAACCAGAAGGTACTGCATTGAACTTCATCAACGCAACTTCGAAATCCCTTCTGATACTGCTGTAAATCATGGAGTTCACATAATCCATAAGGACCTCTTTCTCTGCAACTGACTTGAGTTTTCCAGCGAAGACTTTCTCAATGCTATTCAACATATGCCAGTAGCATAGCAATTTGACATTTTTTGGGAATACAATGTCAAGTGCATTCATTAAGGCCATACATTTGTCTGTTACAAATAGAGAACTGCTTTTCTTATTCTCAAAAACAAGTGCCTTGAGCTGCTCAAGGAACCAAACGTAGGTCTCCTGTTTCTCATTCGAAACCCAGGCGAAGGCAATGGGAAACGATTTAAGAGTGTCTCCCCCGAGGTTATGGACACCTTTCATGCATACAAGAGGCATTTCCAAATTATTGGTTGAGTATGTGGCATTGATGGCCATGACTTCTGGGAAGCGACGGGCTCTTTCTAGCAACTTTGGGTGGGAGAAAAATACTCTTTCAAGAGATCCATATTTGCCGGCGTCATAGCGTACAAGATATCCCTTAGCTTCCATGGTTTTAACGAGTTCAGTACCTGTATCCTGAGAAGTGGAAGCAGTAGCACAAGCAAAAGCAGCCTTGATATTGTTGATGTCATTTACATACAACTTATGGCTGACATTATCCTCTTCATTGATCGCCTTTTGAATCTCACGAGTCTTGGTTTTGGTCTCAACAAGCTTCATAATTTCCCTAGCATCATCGACAGTAACCTTTGACAAACAACCTTTCAAGGTAGATTCCAGGCAGTCATCATCAAGAGGGTGATTTTGATAGCCTTCAATCTCATTGGTGGCTTTCAAAAGAAGATATCCTTTAGCGGCCTTCTTGTATGATATTTTCAAGAGATAGGGGCATCCAGTCTTTCCACTAGACAGAATTCTCTTGCGTTTGCTGTCTTCAATATTCCATGTGTTCTTATAATGACCGCCCTTGGCACACTTCAAATACACTTGAGTTGGTTTACTATCTCTAGTTACAAGTGCAAAATTGTTGGCAAGTGCATATTCCTGCATCTTTGAAATTGCCATTGTCATGTCACTGTAACCATTAACTGGTGAGACAGGAAGAGGTTGTTGGACAGGATAATGTTCCTTTCCATTGAAAAAGCAGATTTCTTTATTGATAGAAATCATATTGAAGTGATTTCTAGAGAATACTTATAAACATCATGATTTCTAATTGCTAATCTGCAATGAGCAAAGTAATCTCTTTACTATCTCCAAGAAAAAATAATATTTTTAAGTGCAATTGATTAGTAGCTCTTACAAAATGAGTATAGAATAGAAAAGAAGGTTTTATATATAAATATTGAGTTAAGAATTTCAGAACACATCGTTTTGCTCTGAAGGATTGGAGAAAAGACCTCAAACCTCGGACAAGTAGTCATAATGAATTAGTCTGTAATGTGTAAGAAGTCACACAATAAGATAATAAGATAAAATGAAATATGAAAATAAAAATAATGTTTATTTGTGATAATATTTGTGATATTTATACTAATTTATAAGATGCCGCAGTATCCTAGATTCTAGCTAAGTCCTTTTGCTGCAGTATCTTGCTGAGCAATGGTTGTCTTCTTCTTTTTGGCCTTGCTCACCCAACTACTGCAGTTGGAGTAGTTGCTCCTGATTGGGTAGGATTGGAACTGAGTGCCAATTATAATCTGCTTCTGACAAGTCTGGCAAAAAAAAAGTAGTGCCCCATCCTGAAAATGTTGTCCCCATAAGATTGCTGGAGCAATATAGTTGAAGATTGATTTAATTTTGTTTGATTCAAGATTTTCACAATTTCATAACTGACATCAATGTCAAGTGCGTTAAGTTTTTATGCCAAACACTGGGTTATCAAGTTGTCATCTAGCTTAATTTTTTTAAAATTTTGTTTTTTTCATTTTTTTCCAGAAATAAAATAAAACTATATGTGCTATATTTTGATTAAGTTCCATTTATTAATTGTTTAGTAAAGATTATTTGATTGAAAAATATAAATATAATTCTAATTTATTTGTTATAAAATTTTTAATATAGATTTTATTAGTTCTATCTGTCATTACTATTTATTATTATTTGCAATTGTTACTATTTACAAACATATTACAAAATCAAACTTTGACTGTACTTGGCTGCTAATTTTTTTTTCTATTTTTAAGTAAAGAAAAATATTTTTCTTATAGAAAATTGTTTTTATTTTAATTAAAAAAGAATAAATTTTAAAAAGACTTGAAGAAGCTGGTTACTTTAATTTGCTTTGAGTTCGCAGTTTTCTAGAACTTATTTTGAAGGTCTTCAATCTTACTGACGAAGTCTCTGTCAATATCTTCGTATTCCAAGATATCTAAAAGTGTGCAAACATACTTAAACTTTTTTGAAGCAGAGTAAGTTCTCTTGAAAGGAACTGCTGATTCCACTTCAGCAATTTCTTCATTGCTGTTGTTGTTAGCTGCATTGTTGTCTGTGTCGTACTCTTCTATGACAATGTCAGTGATTTTATTCTCATTGATCACTTTATGAGTGCATTGTCTCTCATAGAGTAGATCTGATATGCTGATCTGACAATCTTCAAGAGACAGAAGACCTGATCCAGCAATCTTATCTAGAGTTTCTTCCAAACCTTTGATTAGAAGCTTTTCAGTCAGACTTTGCTGAATCATAGTGTTGTAAATGAGTATTGACTACTGCTGTAATTGAGAATAAGTCTGAAGGAAATAATATAAGGCCTTAGCTATTCCAGTCAAAGGTGTCTACCAATTACTTTATTATTTAACACACAGGTTTAGCATGCATGATAGTGATTATATTTCATATGATGATATCACCATAATATGGGATACATCAGTGGATTGTTATAAGCATAATTATAACTCATAAACACATTTACTTTCGATGTTAATACTTCATTGGGACTACACATATTTATATAATTAATCATACATTAATTATCCCAAGATCACGTTGCTCTGATTAAGGCTCAGATAGGATCGATTACCTGACCCCAGTCATATAATTTTCCCAATCCAAAACAATATAAATAGCAGTAGTAGTTCAGTGTAGGAACCTGGTCAAACTTTGATACAAAATCTTTCTCAATAAACAAAACCTACACAAGTTCTCACGAATCTTCGTTCCTAATTTCAAATCTTGAATTCTTCCTCTTAAAAACTTCTTCAACTTCAACCACCACAACACATAGTCTAGTTTACATCTGTAAATTATATTTAGAATATTGAGAAACTAGCATTAAAAGATTATACTACTATTATAACAAATAAATTGTTTTATTACTACATTCACTATCTTCATCTTCAATGAAGTGAAAGATTGTTACATTCCAGCAGTTCTCAATAGTCTTTGCTGAGACAGATTCCTAAATCTCTCTTATCTATTTCATGGCCTACAATTGATCAATTTCAAAGATTTTATCAATGGCCCCAATCTTATCTTGTTGGCCATTTTGAATCATATCAATATATTAATATATCTTGACATATTGTTTACACTTGAAATAAGTCTTAAAAGCTTAAATGATACCACCATTCAATGGCTGAAGGTGTGACGTGGTGTTTGGAGGCAGAAAAAGAAGCTCAACATTTGTAGGTGCATAATCTACTATATGGTCAGAGAAATTATCAAGAATCAAAAGCGCTTTGTGATTTTGTGCTTTCATTGAATGATCAAAGCAATAAAGGAAAACATGGAAGATTGATCATGTTATCCAGAGATTACTATTGTAATGATATATAGAGAATCTATGATCTACTGTCTTTTGTTTTTTGTTGTTTTTGTTAAAACAGTTTGGTCTTCTTGCATGACCAATTATTAATATTTCAGACCACTTGTCTGTTTCATTGGCATTGCACAAAAAACCTACTGTAAGCCGCTTCTTATTTTCCTTCCAACCAGAAAATTTATGGTGGGAAATCGTTGTTCTTGGTAGGGCAGCATAAAAGAGTGCTGTTTCATCAAAGTTATATATGTCACGAGCACTATATCCCTCTATCTTCTCTTTGATGGCAGCCTTGTTAATCTGAAGCAATTCTATATCAGTAGAACCAGCCTCACCATGAATTCGATTCATTTTAATGCAATGATGCTTTCCAAACTTCTCCATCCAGCCTTGAGAAGCACTAAAGTCTTTAACGCCTATTCTTTCAGCAAAAATAGTAGCTTTAGTCTTAATCAATTCTCAAGTGATGGGAATCTGATTATTTTCAGCAATGTTGATCCAAAGAATCACTGCTTCTTCAATTTGCTATAGTTGTGTGACAATATAATAAGGTTAATTTTATTTTTTATATGGAGCAAAAATGCATAATGTTAAGATATATTACATACAGACCATTTTCCCTTTCTAATGTGCTTTCTGTTTTTTATATCAGCTTGCATTATCAAGCTCTGGTCTCCTCACTTCAAAATCTTTGAGATTGTAGAAGCATCAGGAGCTTTTTGAAGGCCAAAGGTTTTCTTTGCCCAGTCAGCCAATTGAGTGTTACTCATAGACAGCTTTTTCTTTTTCATATTGCAAATCTCAAGATGATTTGCAATATTAAGTGAAATGTTTTTTTTGGTCTTATTTATTGTTTAGTTCTGGATTTGATAGATTTCATTAAAGTATCAAAAAAATTGAAAATAATATTAGATAAGCATTATATAATAAGCTAAAAGCATACCGAGAAGCTGTTATTATTTGATTGAATAAGAATTTGAAACAATAATTGGTTACAAGACAGGGGGAGTGGAAAACAGTAATGCAGCCAGGGGTTATATTTAACTAAAATGAATTTAAACAGAGGATTGAAGCATATCAAATCATTACTTGATATATTTTTTTTCTATTAAAGAATAATGTAAACTCCGCCCATAGTTGGCGGAAAATATATACTCCGAACTCATTAATTTCACTCTTCGATAATTTCAAGGCATCTGGCCTTCTCTAGGCCTTGAAATTATCGAGGGACCACTGTAATGCTCAGGAAGATGTTACTGCGCATAAAGAGGTACTGCAGTTAACCATTTTCAGATTTTACGGATTCATCAAAATAATGTCAGAGTTGACATCAGTGAACAAAAGTGGTAGTTATAAGCAACCAGTAAGAGTTGACTTTTTAGGATAAAAGATCTTGACTTTGCCGATTGGTCTTTTATATATGTTTTAGATGTTTAAGATGGTGAATATACTTGTAGAAGATATTACTGGACAACAGGCATCTAAGACATATTATCATAGCTATTCTTTTAGCCAGAAATCAATTATCATTTTGTATAAATAGTCAAGAAATATATTTAATAAAAAGCATGTTTATTCTTATCTTAAAACTATTCATAAACTTGACGATCCCAAGTAGTATTGATTCTGCGACTTAGTTACAAGTGCCAGAAAAGAAATACCAGATCGAGACTTGACATAATGTCCAACAAGAATTTGGGCTCAACATTACCAAAATTAAGAGACAATAAATGAACACTAAAATGAGTGTGAGACTACCAGGGGTCGAACCTGGAATCTCCTGATTCGTAGTCAGACGCCTTGTCCATTGGGCCATAGTCCCACTCATGTATTTGACACGGAGTGTTATAATATTGATCAGCTGTTAACAAAATTTCGGTTGTCCGGCAGTGTGGTGACGCAGAATTCACTATGGCGGAGAAAATGGTAACATGTTACCACTTTGGTAACATAACTGCCATTTTTTATTAAGTAAAAAATGGCAGTTATGACTCTGTATAAGGCCAAAACAGGCACTGTCACCATTTTTTCATAGTAAAAAATAGCAGTTATTTATTATGTAAAAAGCCAAAACAAGCACTGTTACTATTTTTTCAAAAAAAAATCAAGCGTTCTTCCTTTCCTCCATTACATTCTTTCTTTTGTTCTATTGCTTTCAATTTTAGCACAATCTTGTTTTTCCTTTGCAGCTTTAACAGAATGATCTGTTTTTTATTATACAGTATTGAATTGGGTTTAATTGAATTGAATCTTTATTTCAATGCATGGTTTTTTAAATGAAAATGATAATGATAATAGTAATAATGAAAAAACAATTCCATCGGCCACTCGCAATAAAAAATGGTTGTTGTGGGGAGAAAATAAAGCAAAATATAATATAGACAAAAGAATTTGTGAGAACTTGTATAGGTTGTTTATTTCAAAAGAAAAGTAAAGAATGATAAAATTCGATTGTCTTTCTACACGGAACTATCTACTGATATTTATATGTTTTTCTAATTTGTAATTCAGTGTGTGCTTAAGTAATCTTTATCACAATGAGTCATCTTCCAGGAGTATTGTTCTTCTGGAAAGATCCGGAAAGACCAATTGATATGATACTTCTCCAGTCAGATCAGTCCAAGAGTTTTGGTAAAGAAGAGCATTTATGCTATTAGTAATATTTTAGTATTCTGACCCAGATACTTGGATAATGTTTCATAATATTAGATAGTTGTCATTGTAGTCTCTCAATTAAGTATTTGTATAATAAAAGAAATATGTAGATGAAATATAATGATGCTATATATATAATATATATGTATTTGTATATCCCATGTTATGGTGATAATAATAAATAATTAATTATGTGTATGATGATCTATGTATTAGATAATATCATAAAGGGAGATCCATTTGACTGGAATAGCTGAGGATATTATTTTATCCTTCAGTCTTACTCTCAGATTCAGCAGTAATCAATACTCATTCACAACAATGGTTCTGTTTAGCTACTGCAAAACGTATGCAGTAAAACACTACTATTCAAATTTTATTTCATATACTTTGGGTATTCTAATATATCTTAGATAGCACTTGTTATTTTTTATGGATTTCTACAAATATACTAATATTAGAGAAAAAACTTAAAATAAATAAATAGATATAATATTATTATAATGCTTACCTTTATATAATATGCTTACTTGTTCAGTAAAATAAGCATTTACTCTAAGAATATATATATATATTAAAGAATGTATTAATATTTAAGATCTATATATAAGAAAAGCAATAAAACATAAGCACTATAGAAAGTTGCTATCGTAGAAGAAGAAAAAGTTGAGCAAAGATTCAAGTTATATAACATGAAACTAATTCAAATCTGATTTATACAACCGGAATGAGCATCTTGTTAGAAAGCTCAAATTGTTTATTCTACTCAATATACTTATATATAATAGAATGACTCCCAAGTATAATATATCAGTACAAAAATATTACTATTAATTTTTTTCTCAAAAAAAAGGCTATATACACTGGAAAAATAGGGTAATTTCATCTGGATCAAATGTACCAAAAATGTAGATGATTGAGCCGATATCATCACAATTTTTGTGATATATCATTTTGAGCAATGGTACGATATCATCTATGGTGCTGATGCGTATCATCATAACAACGGGTACACGAAAACCCAATGTAGAACGATTGTCAGTCCGCAAACTATGGAAACTGAATAAATATTGTAGTTACGCTTTACTCCTATCGAGTCTACCTCTTTATGTGTTATATTTTGAGGTCTATAAAGAGCTAGCGTCCCATATTATTATTTTTACCGGGTTTTTTTATTGGCTGCAGAAATGCTTTAAAAACTATCAAAGAGATGATTGTAGGTTTTTTACAATATAAAGAAATGATGATAGTTGGTTTTTTATACGTGCTCAAAGTGATGAAACTAGGTTTTTTATACACACAAAAGCAATGAAACTAGGTTTTTTTACAATGGAAAAGAGAAACAAAGCATGGGTAGATTTTTATAAACAAGCCTCTTTGGTTTGTTTATTTATTTTACTTTTATTTATTTATTTTTTGGAAAAACATTGGGTTATACATTTTTTGTTCAATTTTGTTTTATTTGATAGGAAAATCTTTTCTAGATAAAAATCCTAATTTCGCGACAGTTTTGATACTATAGCTATTATAATCGCTAATACTTCTTGCTCGCTATATATAATTTAAAGCCTTCCAGGAGTAGACATGGAATACATACTTTAATAGCGGGAATGCTATTAAAAAATGATTAATAGAAAAGAAGAATTAATAAATGATTTAAATTGAAATTTCTTCATAAATACTTACAAGGCGGAGAAGACTTGACATAAAATTGATATAAACATGTTCTTCAGAATTATCAAGACAATACCAGTAGTCTTTGAATAGAGATACATTCTAAAAATGAATAATTATTAATATTGTGCATAGTAAAGGCGTATTTATTAAATATATTGTAGTTAACTTACCAAATATTACTGATTATACATCTTCGTGCATAATATTAGACATAACTAATAAATCATAATAAAAATAAATATATATCTATGAGGAAGACAAAAGAATAATTTGAATTTTTTTTAAGAAAAAAACTTACCATCATGTTCGATTAAGAGATGATGAGACTCAATGGAAATGAGTAGCAATGGCTAGACAAACAATATGATGAGTAACAAAGATCTGTAAGATAATGATATCTTACCTTGATATATCAGACAGAGTATAGTCAAACAAAGAGACACATATTTGGTATCGAGCTATAAAAGAAAGAAAGAAAATTGTAAGTGAAATTGTAAAAACATAAGCAAAAGAGAAACAAAGAAAATATCAATAATAAATGTTGTTAAAAGAAAAAAAAAGGAAAAAAAAAAGACTTGTCTTAAAATCCAGTTTGACCCTGACAAAATGCGGGCTGTAAAAAGTAATACTCCAAAAGAAGATGACCACCGTCATCTTGAAATACTACTTTGTGCCTCATTGAGTTAGAAAAGAAGTTGTCTAAATGTGGATCAAGCGGTTGGGAGATGTGCTTAAATATCAAATGAAAGGTAGAGAGTTAATCTGCACCGCTTATCCTCTTTACTAGTATGTGAATTTTAAATATGATATAACAAGTGTAGTGAATTGTACAATATTAGTTGAAAATTATTAATATTTATTTTATTAACAGAAAATGACAAAGCGTATTCCTACTGCTCCCCGCCGACCCAACCTACGCATGAATGCTGTTCTTAATAGCACAATTGCAGGTGTTGTTGCTCCAATTGATACACCAACTCCAGAAGTAGCAGTTGACACAGCCCCTGAAGTTCAAGTCGCTGTGACCCCAATGGATCACGTCCTTACCTTGTTGGCAGCCAACAATGTGTCGATGCAATCCTTGCAAGAAAATGCAAAAGGAGTGACTGATGCAATAACTCATTTGAAGAATGGCCTGGATTTGTCCAACAAGACAAATGAATTTTTGAAGAACTCGGTCCTTCAGCTCATGACTGAAAATGCTGAAATAAAAAAGGCAATGACCAGCCAAAATTCCGTGATGCCTTCTGCTGTACCAGCGGATTCTTCTTCTTCCATGGATGATGATCTTGACCTTGGAGCGAAACATCATCCCTTGATTTCTGTAAGTAAATTGATAATAATAACATTACTGATTAATATATCTAATACTGTTTTTATAGCAACTTATCAATAGTTACATCAAGAAACCGAACTTTGTTAGCACAGACCCGCTCAAAGTTGCTGAGAATAATAATAG